AAAAAAAAAAAAAAAAAAAATTATGAAAAAAGAAGAAGAAGAAGAAGAAGAAGAAGTTGGATAGAGAGATTAAGTCGGAATGGAGTAATGTAATGATAATGATATAATGAACAGCGACGTGGCGTCGAGGAAGTGGAAAGAAAATTAATAGACACCCCGTGGAGGTAGTCTTCATCAGACATCAGGCGATTGATGGCCGCCATATTTGCCTGATGCGTTTGGAGGTGCCGGCGAAGCAACACGAGGTGGCTGCCAGTCACTCGTTCTCTCGATACTCAGAAGAAGGCCCAGAAGTCGCTGAGACTAAGCTCTGTTCTTGGCTTAGGATAGGCTACCACACCATTTGGATTGATCCGTACACCGATATACAATACTCGTACGATGCGAGTGATCTTAACTTCTTGTACATCAGTCTTCAGTCTCCTGAGAGTGATTCTCGGCTCTCACTCTTCACTCTGCGGGCTGTCAACGACTTACGGTAATTGTTTGGCTCCCTGGGGTAAAATGCGCGAGAAATTATCGTTACTCGTTAAATATTTCTTACTCTCAACACGTCGCTCTTATTATCGGCCTCTACTCCTTTTTTATCGCTACTTCCTTTCTTTTTATTCGCTTAAAATTTTTTTTTCTTATATCTTTTACTTTAATTTTTTTTTTTATTTTTATAACAACTCACTTTGAGCTGGATTGGATCGAGTTGCGCTTTTTATGAATAAATCTTGCTCAATTTTTTTTTGGTTTTGGTTAATCAATAGCTAACATCAATTACATTTATGCAGAGTTGAGTGATATTAAGAAAAATAATTTTTAATGATATTTTAAAGATTTTTCTTTTCATTTTTGAACAGAAAAATAAATTATTTATTAAATAAATTAATTAGAAGAAAATTTTTGGTTTTCTTTTTTAAAAAGATTATTTTAAGTTTTATGTTTTTTCAAAAAAGCTGCATTAAGCTTATATCTTTAAAAATATCAATAATTAAGAAATGACCTTGTATCTTGTCAAATATTGACATTTTTAAAGATATAAGCTCATCCCGACATTACATTTATCAAGACCTTTCATTTGAGTACCCACATCAATTTTTCATATATTTTATATATTTATATATATTATATATATGTATATATGAAAAATATATCAAAAATGCATGGGGGTACTCAAATGAAAGCTCTTGATGAGTGTAGCATTGAGATGAGCTTATATCTTCAAAAATGTCAATAGTTAAAAAAGTACAGTGCAATTTAACAAAAGTCATAATAATTTAATTTTTATAAAAATTAAAAAAATTGATAGATATTTATTAAATTTGCAATAGATGCCTTTAATTAATAAAAATCAATAAATTAATTGTATAAAATTTTCTAAGAATTCTAGACCTTGGTCTAGTATCTCTCAATAATAATCAATAAATAAATTCCAAGAAAAATCAAATGTGCCTATTAATAAAATTCTCAATGTAAAAAAAAATGTAAAAGTATTGTATTAATAGATAATTGCAATTTAACCTGTCATTTCGTAACCATCTTCACAGGAATAGAGGACTTGGCTCAAGTAAGTCACAGTATTGTTGATAAGCGTGTACTCTCCGTGTTTGATATTAGCTGGAAAACCGCATTCAATACTTTTGCAAACTGGTGGGAATTCATTGTAAAATCCAGTGTCTAAGCATGTACGAGTCGCGGGTCCTATCAGGAGACTTCCTGCATCACAACTGTAAGCAACTGTTGCGCCAACTTGGTAATTGCTTCCTGATGAAGATGAAGACGATGCGGGGGAGTCGTCACTTTGATTAGTGATTATCATTGTTGAGTTTGGCGGTTGTTCGGGTCTACCACAAGCCCGCGGTTCTAAAAGATTAATAATAAAAAAAAAAAATATAATTATTTATTTATTTATTCATTGATTTAGATTGTAAAAATGTAAATTTAATAGTTACGGTGCTGGCAGATGTAATTGAGCCTTGCAGTACAGGGAGTGTCTGACCAGAGCCAGCCTCTGCTTCCATCATAACGCGCGCAATCTTCCTGAGAGCCTTGAGGGAGACTCCAGAAGGAAACAGCGACTTCATCGCCGCTTCCTGTCCATCTCCAGACACTTTTGTCCTTGGAATCGCGCACTGCGCCCATCCAGTACTGGCTTGAGGTATCGCTGCGATGACGACGCCATAATTCCCACGATATAAAGCCCTGGAGGGCTGGATTGCTCTCGTCGACTAAAGTTCCTCCTCGGGCTCGACAGAATGACAGAGCTTCCCGGAATTGCATCGGCTGGCGGTTGTAAAATATGTAACACTTTCCATTGTAAGTCGCGGTTGATCCTGGAGGCTGGTCACGGAATTGCGGACATCTTTCTATTGGTAATGCCTGTTGATAATTATTTTTATTAATTTATTTTTACATCAATAAAAAAAAATTTGAAAAAGAAACATTTAAAAACTAAATAAAATTTATTTGTGAACTATAAATAAATAAAATTTTGGTTTATTAAATAATGACTTTTGTTAAATTGCACTGTACTCTTTTAACTATTGATGTTTTTAAAGATATAAGCTCATTCTGATGTTACACTCATCAGGAGCTTTCATTTGAGTACCCACATCAATTTTTGATATATTTTTAATATATACATATGTATATGATATATTCATAAATATATGATATATGAAATATATGAAAAATTGATGTGGGTACTCAAATGAAAGGTCTTGATGAGTGTAACATCGGGATGAGCTCATATCTTTTAAAATATCATTAGTTTACAAGATAGCAATGTCAGTTCTTAATTATTGACATTTTGAAAGGTGTAAGCTCATCCCGATGTTACTCTCATCAAGAGCTTTTATTTGAGTACCCACATGCATTTTTGATATATTTTTCATATATACATATATATAATATATATATATAAATCTATGAAAATTGATGTGGGTACTCAAATGAAAGGTCTTGACGAGTGTAATGTCGGGATGAGCTTATATTTTTAAAAATATCAATAATTAAGAACTGACATTGCTATCTTGTCAACTAATGACATTTTCAAAGATTTAAGCGCATTCCGACATTACACTCATCGAGACCTTTCATTTGAGTACCCACAAGCATTTTTATATATTTTTCATATTCATATATTTATATATTTTTCATATATTTATATATATAACATAATATATGAAATATATGAAAAATTGATGTGGGTACTCAAATGAAAAGTCTTGATGAGTGTAACATCGGGATGAGTTTATATCTTTTAAAATGTCAATAGTTCACAAGATACAAGGTCATTTCTTAATTATGTATCCAGAGATCAAATTAATTTATAAAAATTGTTTTTTTAGATAATTTAATCTACCTGGTCAGTATAAACAAAAGCTTCACAAAGCGACAATTGAACAGGTGTCGGCGTATGAGAAGAAGCTTCTAAATGTACAGAGACAAATGCTCCAGGCATCGGTGGATTGCAGGGTAAAAATAATGGCTGGCCTTCTTCAAGCGGCCCGGAAAATTTATTACAAATCGGATTTGTACCAAGATCCGGACGATTATTACCAACGCGCACCACTATTGTTCCCGCATTGCCGTCTAAAATATTAAGAAACAAAAAAACATAAATATTAATAAATTACAATACCTACATAAATAAATAGATAAATAAATAAATAAATAAATAAATAAATTATAAAAATTATGTGATAAGATAAAGAAGTAATAATTAGGGTGAAGTAAGCTTTCACTTGTAATTGGTATAGAAGTAAACAGTGTTCAGGATTGAATAGAAGGTCGATTAAAAAAGGAAGAAAGAGATTACTATCAATAATGTTTCGTTAGTTTTTTATTTAATTATGCGGCTGGTTTTGTTATTGGTGGTAGGTATCCATATCCAACAATGGCCTACTAACCATTTCACCCGTGATACATTAAGATAGCCACATTTGTCAATGATACACCCGTAATTCCTCTTCTACAATATCTTTTTGTTAACTTAATATTTTATAGCAGCTATTGTTGGTATAAGTTAATATTATTACTATCTTTATCTTTATCATTTAATTATTATAGTAGAGTTTAAAATAATGTCTAGCTGTAAGTGCTCTTAATATATTACACTTAATGCATTAACCAGCAGATTGCTGGTTAAGTTAGAGAGAATGGAGTTGATGCGTCTGAATTAACACGCAATGCTTATCAATCTTCAATAACATTACAGGCTATCTTGTCGGAGTTTAGTTTTCCGGCGTTTTCTAACTATCGAAAGTAAGTGAAAGACTCTCACTAAGAACACACAAGTCTATCGAACTCTAATTTCTAAAATTATCATCATTATAATCTTACAATCATTGATTATAGTTTTATTTATTTTGCAGGCACAAGACATTATCATCGCTGAAACTAAGGACCGTAAGAATTAAAAATTCTTTTTAGTTATTTTTTAATTTAATGGGAATAATTTAATGACTGACATTTTCCAGGTCGTTGACTAGAATGATTTTTTGCTGGGTTTGCAAATCGGCTTACAGGATAAATTGCTATCGATCTGCTCTAATTGTGGAAAGTTCCACAGACTTTTAAGAAATTGAGATATTTATTCGACCGTTTCTTTTTCATCTTCTCAAGGTATTTTTTATCTCCGTGGTTTACTGTTAAATCCTAGAAATTTATTTATCTTTTATTAAACACTATTTCGCTTAATGGTTTATTACTTTTTTTTAGATTCTTTTATGTTTCACAGCTTCCAGCGATTTAATTATTGAATTGTGAGGATAAAAGTTTTTTTTTAGACCAAATTTTATTACTTTTGTGAGAATTTTAGGAGTATTAAAATTTTTTTTTATATGGAGTTTATGAAAAATATTTTAGTGTTTATTCACAAAATTTATTTTAAAGTATTTTATTTATGAGAAAGTTTTAATTGCTTTTTTTTTCTGTAAAGAATTTTATAGAATTTAATTTTGTAATTTTACAAAAGAATAGACTGTTATATTTTTATATATAATAAAAAGAAGTTGTAAAAAAATTTAATTAAGCAAATTTCAATTTTTTAACATTTATCAAAAAAAAATTAGTATCCAAAAATTGACATTTATAATTTTTGCTATCTCCTTAAATTATTCTATTTTTAATGAATTATCAGAAGAAAATATGAGATTGTTCTAAAAAAAAAAATTCATTACTTTTATTAGTAAAATTTTAATAAAAAAATTTTTTTAAAAATCAAAATAACTTTAAAAAAAAATCAGTACCTAATTTTTTAGGTCATTTTTTAAAAAATTAAGAATTGAACATTTTAAAACAAATGTTAATTTTTTATCATTTAAAAAAAAAATTTTATTATTCAAAAATTGACATTTAAAAGATTTTTTTTCTCTTCTAATTATTCTATTTTTAATAAATTATCAGAAGAAAAATATATGAGATTGTTTTAAAAAATTTTTATAGTTACTTTTTTCAATAAATTTTAATAAAAAATTTTTTTTATAATCAAAGTAACTTAAAAAAAAAATCAATAATTTTTTAGGTGATTTTTTAAAAAATTTTCTAACAAATGTTAATTAATTTTTTATCATTTTTTCAATAAGAAAATTTTATTAAAAAATTGACATTTAAAAATTTTCTTTTCTCTTTAAATTATTCTACTTTTAATTAATTATAAAAAAAAAACTACAAAATCATTCTAAAAAAATTCTAATATTAATTTTTACTTCTAAAATTAAAATAAACAGTCATACTAATTATTTTAATAATCAAAATAAAAAAAAAAAATAATAATCAAATTAAAAAAAAAAAATACTTACCACAGCAAGCTTTTCCAAAGTCCAACCTGACCAACTGTACCATGTAAGGTTCCAATAAATTAACATACCACCAAGGTTTGACCTCTGCCCTGGTGAGTGTGCAAGTTTGAGGATTGTAAACTTGACCGCTGCTACCATCGACAGCCTTTTGAGGTATTCCACCTTCAGAGCTGCTAGATTGCATCGGAGCCTTGCCTCCAGCGACGTTCAACACTGCCAAGAAATAAAACACTCTATAAATAATTGCTCTATAGATAAATTAATGGTAATAATCCCCAATTAAAATAATCTTATCATCTCTTCCTTAAAAAAAAATCTTTACACTTTCATCCTAATTAATTCCTCTAGCTCATAAATAAAAATCAAAACCTGCAGAGCAAAAATAAATAAATAAAAGCAAAACAATTGCACGGACAAACGGGTTTCACTTAAACCAAAATGACAATCCCGCATTTGTCCTCCTTTCTCAAATTGGTCGAGAAATCAGAGGGACAAATCGCGACCACTTTATTTAATAAAATATATAATAAAATCTACCGCTACTTTACAATTACAAGCAAAAAAATAACAATTTGTCTGTTAAATCGAGCGTTTTTAATCAAATTAAATTAAATAACAAGTTTGAATAAAATCCATTAATAAAATGAAATAAAAGATTATTTTTTAGCGAATCTCGTGCTCTGTTTGCTTTATATTCTAATATAATATGAGGACCATAACATAAGTATAAGGATATAACGTGCAGTGTGTCGTATTGGCGACCAAGCATATCGTCTTCTTGCCTACACTACCTGCTTACCTGTTTACTAACATATTTACCATATACCTTATATTACTTGTCTCTACAACTCTCATACTCAGTACTTGTACACTTATGCCCCACGACCCACTTGTGCCTTTAAAAAGACCTACTTATATATTAACGCTCACCTGCCATAGCCTTTTGTTTTATTATGTCGCATATTTTCACCTCTTTCTCTTTCTCTTTCCATATACAAATAAATTAAATAAATCCTCACTACACTCATCCGTCCAGACTTATCACACTTAAATATAAATATTAATAATCAAACATTCATATACATATTTATCATCTTCTTTACATATCTGTTTGTCTATTATTTGTTTTATAATAAAAATTACATGGAAATATTTATTTAAATTCATGGGAAAGTTTTCATCCTCAGTTTTGTTTTTTTTAATTTAAATATTATAATTTTTTAGATTGTGTAACTATTGTTTATTTTTTTAATGGTTGTTTAGAATATTCTGAAAAACAATTTATTTTATTTCATTTTTTTACTTGGTACTTTTGACAGTAATGAGAAGAAAAAATTTTCTTTAATTAATTCATGCATGGAAATTTTAAAAAATTGTGAATGTAATTTTAAAAAAAAAAACTTTCTTAATTCTAATTTAGGTAATTGTTTAGTTTCACGGTCCTCAATATTTGAACTCATAAAAATAATACATTAAATTTTTATTTTTGTTTAAAATTAAATAATTAAAAGAAGAAAAGAATTTTATATTTTTTTAAAAGTGATTAAAAAATTAATATTTGGAAAAATTTTTTTCAAAAATTTTGAAATTAAAAAATTTATTTTTATAAACTTTTATAGTTATTAATATTATGTGCCAAGAAAAAAAAAGATTAATTTCTCAATTTTTTACGCTAAAAAATTATGAAACTAAAATCAGCAGAAATTTGATATTTTTTTTAATTTATATTAGAAGTGAATTATAAAAAAAAATTGTACTTGTAAATTTTTTTCACAATAATTTAGTCGATAAAAACATCCAAAAAATTTACAGATGTTTTTTAAATTTCAATTTCATAAAAAATTACTCAAATTTATTTTTAAATTAAAACTAAAAAATATTCATATTAATTATCATGAAATTAAAATTATCACTTGATTATTTTTTAATTTTATTTAACAAATTTGTTTTTAAAAATAATTTGAAAACAAATTGCATTTTTAATTTTTTTAAATTTCTATCAATTTTTTTTTTCTTAAATTTTTTTGCTACAATTTAATTTATTAAAAAAAATTCTTAAAATCATCAAAAATCTTCTAAATAAATTTTCATTTAATTATCACAAAATAAAATAAATAAAACCTAAACAAAAATGACGAAAAATAATTTTTTAAAATTGCATTTCTGATTTTTAAAAATTTCTATCAATTTTTTTTCCTCAAATTTATTTTGACTACAATTTATATATTAAAAAAAATTCTTAAAATCATCAAATAAATTTTCATTTAATTATCTTGAAATAAAATAAAAAAAAACTAAAAAGAAAATCTAGTCCTCAATAAAATTAATAAAAATAAATACCCACGTAATGAGAATAAAATTTGAATACAAGAATGAAATATCTTATTTGAATGTCAAAGACACGTGACCTGTTTCCCGATGTCCTTGACCGAGGTGGCTCGATAATAGCTCTGTGAAACGGAACCAAGTAATATAGATACTGGAAGGGGCATTAAACCGTTAAACATTAACCTGTTGGCGGGCCAGTATGAGGGAGATTCTTTCCCGACATACCGGGTCATATTTATTATTAATTTTAAATATTTTATTCTAATCCCCAGTCTTCAATCTTAAGATTTAATCGCTCTTCAATCTCCAATCTATAATCTTCACTTTTCAATCTTTATCTCTTAAATTATATCCATTTAACTCTTATATTAACATACCACAAAAAGGTACGCCTTCAGGTGTCCAAGTGCCATCAGGCTGGCACTGTCTTCTCGCAGGTCCCAGCAACTCAAACCCGCGCTCACACGCGTAAGTAGCAACAGTTCCAGTCGGGAAGACAGTGTCTTTTATCAATGAATCTTCTTCGTCGAGCACGTCGTCTAAATTATCCGTGAAGCGCACTGTGCTGTGAGCTGGCGCTCCTGGGTAGCCGCATCCTGTACATTTAATTCCTAAAACAAATAATTGAACAATTCATTAGATTAAATATTAAATAAAATTATCAGTTATTTGTACAAATATTTTATTTCAAAGTTTTAAACTAAGAAAAAAAAATTGTTTTAAAAAAATTAACAATGTTGAAAGAAGAAATTTATTTGTTGAGAATTTTAAATTATTTTATTTTTTATTATTATTTAATTTTAATGCCAAGGCAGTAAAAAATAATTATTAATTAATGAAGATATAAAATTTCAAAATTTTAATTATTAAGAAAAATTGTTTTTCTTAAATTTAAAATTAAATTATGATAAATTACAAGGAAGTATAAATTTGAGTATAAAAATTAAAAATTGAAGATGATATATTTATGTAACAAAAATGTGTGAATGAATATCAAAAATTAAAAAATTAAGATTCATTGTCTTGTTCGCACTTTATGAAGAATTCATAAGCACTTGTCTTAAATGTGTTTAGGCTAAGTAAATTCAATTTGTAGTTATTTTTAGAAGAAGAAATAAACATTTTTTAAAAAATAAAAACTTTTACAGTCACACTGAGATAAATTTCATTTTTAAAAAAATGACAATAAATTAATTTACTTAAAATTTTATTTCTTAGCTGAAGAAATTTAAATTTTTCTTAGTAACTTTCTGATTGAAAAAAAAAATTTTTTTAAATAGACAACTTGCAAATTTTTATCCAAAATTATTATTTCATAAGTCTAGGAAACTTTTTTCCAAGAAACTTATTGCAATAATCATTTTTATTTCTTCAGCTAAGAAATAAAATTAATTTTTTGTCGCAACAATTTTTTTAAAAAGAAATTTTTTTTCTGTGTGGCTGTAAAATTTTTATTTCTTCAATCATTTATTTCTAGCTGAAATTTATATAAATTTGGATGAACAACTAGCAAATTTTTATCTAAATATATATAATTTGGATTTATTTTTATCCAAATCTAGAAAACTTTTTTTCAACCGAAAAATTTCTATGAAAAATATTTTTATTTCTTCAGGAAGAAATAAAATTATTTAGAATTTTAAATAAATTAATTTATTGCCACAAAAATGTTAATTTTAAAAAAACAAATTATAAAAAAAAAAAAGCAATTATAAAAAAACAAATTTAGATAAAGAACTAGCAAATATTTATCCAAATATATAAATTGGATTTATTTTTGTCCAAAAAAAGTTTCTATAAGAAAAATTATTTCTTCAGCTAAGAAATAAAATTATTATAAAAATTGATCAGATTAGATTAAATTAATTATTTACTTATGCCAAAGCCTAATGACCAAATGGCAAAGTAAAAATAAAAAATACAATTAATTACAAATTTAAAAATAATAATAACAATTTTACAATTCTAATTTTAATTTCTCTTATAATCTTATACTCTATTTATACATCTAAGTCAAAAATTTGGTCATTGTTTTAAAGATAAATTTTTTCTGTAAATACAGACAAGAATAAGACATTTAATTGCAAGATCATTCACCCGATTTTTTACACCTGGTAAGGCAGATGGGCATCAAGTATGCCAAATGTTATTCTTCATCTATTATCACCGTTTTATTTAAAAATAAGCAATCTATTATCGCTATTATAATTAGCATTGAATCGTGTGCAACCTCAGACAATGAAAATTTAGCATTGTATTTATAAAGATGATCGTGAATGATAAAAGTACTGGTAACAAGTATTAACCGCGATGTAAAATTAACGGTTAATGTATAGCAGAAGTACGTTCTGCGTGCCGAGCATTGACTTTCATAGTAATTAACCGTCTTGTAGTGACAGCGATCGCGTTTTATACTTACATGTTTTATACGTAAGTTCCTAAGTTATATATAATAAGTACATGTAAATATATCGGTATCGGCATCATATCAATGTACATTGCTTCATTACACTATCGATGGTCATTATTATTTTTTTTTTACTTATTTTTATTTCACTCCTTGCTCTATTCTAGATTTACATAAACGTTTTGATCATACTCGATGTCTGTCAATTGATCTATTCGACGAATTAAATAGTTTGTAATAACAAATAGTCTGTGTTATTTTAATGATAGTTTTATTGAATAAGTATTATTAAATATCTACGGAGAATCGATCCCGTTTCCCGATCGGCACGCTTGCCTAACGGAACTCCAACTACAATTTAATTAACATATTAATCACAGAAACACATGCTAACATTCTCATATTTTTGTGGTAATTATTTAATTTCATGGTCCATAATATTTTAATCCATGAAAATTATATTTAAAATTTTTTTTTTAAATTGTATAATTTTTTTTGTCTTAACATTTATCACAAAATAAAATAATTAAAAAAATAATTTTTTTAAGTTAATTTTTTCAGTAAAAAAAATTAATATTTAAAAAAAAATCTTTGTTTTTAATTATGAAAAATATTAATTTTGGAAAAAAATTTTTTTTAATGATAAAATATGAAAATTTTTGAGAATAATTTTTTTTTTAAAGATAAAAAATTAAAATTTAAGAAAAACAAATTTTTTAATGATAAAAAATAAAAATTTTTAAGAATTAAATTTTTTATGTTGATAAAGATATAAAAATTTCTTCAAATAAATTTTTTTCTGATTTTTTTTTTACAAAAATCTAATTTAAAAAAATCTTTTTTTAATTATGAAAATTTTTGAGAAAAAAATTTTTTAAGAAAAAAATTTTTTAATGATAAAAAATAAAAATTTTTGAAAATTAAATTTTTTATAATGATAAAAAAATAGAAATTTCTTTAAATAAATTTTTTTCTGATTATTTTTACACGTAAAATACGGAAAAAAATATTAAAAATATCTAAACTTATATGAAAAAATTTTATTAACAATTTTTGGTTGAAATCAAATTTTTCTTAACTTAAAAATTGATTAAAAAAATTATTTATAAAAATTTTTATCATTAATTTAATAAATTCACCGTAAAATAAAATAATAAAAAAAAAAAGAAGTTATTTATTCGATTTTTTACACAAAAAAAAAAACCAATCAAGAAGATATTAATTAGCAATTTACTATTTATTAACTATCTATCCTTAGGGCCCGAGAAAATAAATAATAATAATGATTCAGTCACGCTGTGTCATTTGATTTTAGATAAGAACCGGTATAAATCGGTTAGTAGGACAAAAGTCGTAGAGAAAAGTGACTAAGCATTAACGAATTATTTTTGATCTATTTAACTAAGCATGCCGGTTTCTTCTTTTCATTTCTTCTTTATTTATCTTTTTAAATTATTATTTGCAGTTGAAATTATTTTAAAAACACATATTAAAGATAATAAAAAATAAATAGTAGCAAATAATAAGCTCAGAGCAAAGTAAAATGTGATTCGGTGGCCATATGTTTTTTACCGTTACATTAGTTTACTATCGTGAGAAATATTTGTAGCTTTCTTTTTCAAAATACGAGATAGAGGAGACGTTAGTATTATTTAGTGATGAGAAATTTTATATACCAACAATCAGACAAGGATTACCACAGAATAGAATAATAATACTAATTATTATTATTATTAAAACAATAATTGTTTAATTTTATTTAATTATTAACCATGGGAAGTGTTTGTTAATTTTTAAAAATATAAATAATTGTTTAATTATTATATTATAATTAAGACGGTTATTTTTATAAATGTTATTTCAGCTACCGGTGAAATCGTATTCCGGTATTAAAATATTGTAATCGGCTATCGAAATATTGTATCTAGTTATTACGATAATTTTAGAGGATGTTTGACGTTTTTTTTTTTTACTCAATAATTGCGGCATTTATTTATCTTTGTATCAATAAGTTTCTACTTGCGAAAAAAGGATGTCTGTAATAGATAAATTAATTTTTTTTTCCGTAAATATCAATAGATAAATTTCTGCCCTAATTAATTATTAAAAATTAATTTAAAAAAATTAATTTTAAAAAATTAGTTTGAAAAAATCAATTTTAAAGAATCAATTAAAAAAAATCAATTTTAAAAAATCAATTTTAAAGAATCAATTTTAAAAAATCAATTTTAAAAAGTTAGTTTTAATGAATTAATTAAAAAAATTAATTTTGAAGAATTAATTCTTAAAAATTAATTTTAAAAACTTAATTATAATGAATTAATTTTAAGAAAGTTATTTAAAAAAATAAAAATTAATTTTAAAAAATAAAACAAACCTTTGATAGTAAAAAGAATAAAAAGAAAACAATTGAAATAAAATTGAGTTTTCATTATAAATTAGCACTTAAAAAAAAAAAAAAAAAAAAAACCACCAATTAAAATCACTAATTAAAAAAAAAATTTTTTTTTAAACGAAGAACATAATTATGACACTTAAAATTAATAATTTAAAAGCTTTCGGTTTGAATAAAGCGTTAAAGACCGCTCTGAGGAGCGTGCGAGTGAAAGAAGCGTTTGTCAAATACTGAAGCAAGGAGTCGAAGTATCTGAGACAGGAAGTTAAGTCCCAGGTGTTGGTAGCAGTCCCCACCTGAGGATTTAAGTCTGCCAGCCAACCATTTGTGCTACCATACCTTCGTAAAGCTCACACTTAAGACAACTCTTTATATTACACCTTATTTTATTTTCCTACACCTCCATATCCTCTGTGTTCATATATCTTCATTCTTCATAAATATATGTATATATATTAACACATTATATTACATATGTGTTGCGTTAAGTTGAATGTGTAGAAAAATTGCAATTCATAGCGGTTGAAGAAACACAGAAGTATTTTCTATCGTCATCGCGTCATCGTTCTCCACTTCCTTGGTATCGCACCTAAATATTAATGCAAATAAATAAGATAAATAAAAATATTAAATAACTATTCGTATTGTACAGCCTTAATAATGTGGTATGTATTAATAATTATGCGGGTTACTACTAATAAAATTAAATACAATGAATTAAAACCTGGTAAGAAGTGTATAAACGGTTTGGTATTCAGGCCATGCTGACCAAGCTAAGTATTTTAAGAATTTATTTATTTATTATTTAAATAGACTATTCATTAATAATTGATAATTATCGGTACGTATTGATTGATTATCTGGGATAATTAGAAGATGGAAAAAAAAAAACTAGGGTAAATATTTACAAGTGGAGTCAATTACAATTTAATTAACATATTAAAATTATATTTAAAATTTTTTTTTTATAATTGCATACTTTTTTTTCCTTAAAGTTCGTCAAAAATAAAATAACTAATAAAAAACTTTTTTTTAAGTCGATTTTTTCATTAAAAAAAAAATAGTATTTAAAAAAAATCTTTTTTAATTATGAAAAAAAAATTTCGGAGTAAAAATTTTTTTAATGATAAGATATGAAAATTTTGGGAAATATTTACAAGTGTGGTCAACTATTTTAATTTTCATTTTTTTGAACGAAATTTCTATTTGATTTTATTGAGATATTTTTTTTAAAAAACATAAAAAAATTAACAATTAAAAAAAAAAAGATTATCAAAATTTTAACAAATTTTCAAAAAACTTTATAAGTTTTTTATGAAATTGTGATATTTAACTTTTTTTTTAATTGTTCGTTTTTTTTAATGTGCTTTTCAAAAAAAAATATATCAAAAAAAAGATAAAATAGAAATGTTATCCAAAAACATGAGAGCCAAAATTTTATCCAACTTTTAAACATTTTTTATTATATAAATGCGTCGTAAAAACAAGCTGAATAAAAAAAATGTTAATTTTTCACCTACATATGGCCAAAAATTACCAAAATTTTTTTTTTAATTTCATTTATCAAAAATTTGAAAAACTAAGTGCAATTTAAAAAAAATATTTTTTGGTTTTAATTTAATAATTGAAGCAAAATAAAAAAATTGAAAAATGTTAATTTATCACCTAGGTATGGCCAAAAATAAGGTTGACCCCACGTGTAAATAATTACTAAAAATAGTGCCGATTGTGATATGACGAAACTTATATATCGGTAAATAAAGAACTTTCAGTTTGGTTATGAGTCAAGGAAATACAAAAAAAAAAAAAAAGGTTTTAACATATAAACACAAGATTAAAACGGACGTGAGTAAGTTTAAATGTAAAAGAAATACGTCAGATATTTAACAAACATCCTTATACACTCATTCCCAGAAAAAGAGTTAAGCGCTTTCTCTTAACATACAGCTCTTAACTATCAACGATCCAACACTCACCTCAATGTGATTTTACTCTGAAGAATTCATAGTTTTCTTGGTTCTCTACTATTCTACACTATTCTATTATATTGTCTACTACGACAACTTTCCCTGAGTTAAATTACATATAAATATACAGAAGAATACAAAGTATATTTATTTCTGAGTCGTACACAAGTTGAGTTGTCAATTGTTAATTCTTAACTTTTACTAAAAATTACGTAAAATAACAGAATTGATTTGTAATTTGTAGCTGCGCTGAGGTTCCATTGTCTTCAGTATTTCTTATTGGCATCATTTATGCATAATTATATTTATATATTAATTTACAAATTGTAATAAATGTCGATGATTAGTGGATTCTTTCTCTGACCCTAAATCTGACTCTTTGACGGCTTCTAAACAACACTAGATCTCGGATTATTTTAGCTGTATACTCCCGGAAAAAGATAACTAAGTGTGCGTGAATCCTCACGAAAGAATAATCAACCGGAGTTATATTGTAAATGTTTCTAATCATATCACTGATGTTTTGATTGTTAATTTGATTAATGTTATTTATAATTCCGAGGCCTGCTAAAGTTGATATTATTTGAGTGTAGATTCCTTCCACTCCTACTTGCAATTCTCTATGAAACTGAAATTAAAAATTATTCTTTATTATTATCTTCATGCTTTTTTGTTTCTGTCAATAAATACATCTCAATAATTAGGTAATTTATACATACTTATAAACTCCAATTGTTAAAAAATTTTTCATGATTTTGGAACAGAGAAAGACAATTTTTAGAAATTTTTTTATAATACTAAAGTTAGCCGACGTTTTTAATTTTTTTTTCTTTTATTAAACTATAAATAAAAAATATTTTTTCAAGTTTTTTACAAATGAAAATTTTTGTAGTAATTTTTCAATTAAAAAAAATTATAAAAATTTTTAGATATCGGCTAACTTAATTTTCATATTTTTTGATTTATAAATTGTAGCAAGAAAAATTATTAGTGCAATTTTTTATAAATTATTTTCTAGACCTAATTTATTATTTTTTATTTTTTAAATAATACACTAAACCCAAATGAAAATTAAGTTAGCCATCTAAAAATTTTTAGAATTTTTTTTTATTAAAAAAAACTATTACAAAATAATTGAAAAAAATTTTTATTTGTAAAAAACTCGAAAAACTAAAAGTGTAATTTTAAAAAAATATTTTTTAGTTCTAATTTAATAATTAAAAAAAAAAAAATTAAAAACGTCGGCCAACTTTAGTGTTATACTTTAATGAAAATTAAGTTAGCCGAGATCTAAAAATTTTTAGAATTTTTTTTTATTAAAAAAAACTATTACAAAATAATTGAAAAAAATTTTTATTTGTAAAAAACTCGAAAAACTAAAAGTGTAATTTTAAAAAAATATTTTTTAGTTCTAATTTAATAATTAAAAAAAAAAAAATTAAAAACGTCGGCCAACTTTAGTGTTATACTTTAATGAAAATTAAGTTAGCCGAGATCTAAAAATTTTTAGAATTTTTTTTTATTAAAAAAACTAGTAAAAAACTCGAAAACTAAAAGTGCAATTTTAAAAAAATATTTTTAAGTTCTAATTTAATTTTAACAGAAATTAAAATCGGCTAACTTTAGTATTATTAAACTCTACAGCAAAACCATGAAGCGGGTTCTATTAGAAAAAAAAATAACAGTTACATTATATTCAATAATAGTACTTATAAGTAATATTAATAGAAATAAGTCCGTAATTATTAAAAATAAGTTGAAAACTTTTCAATGTCATAATTTAGCTACTAAAATTTGATAATGACAAGGATTAAAATTATTGATGGGATTATTGTCAAAACAAGTGAAGTATTCCATAGTCATGCTAGAACATGTGATTACTTATTATTAATACAAACAAATATTCGACATTGTGTTCTTCAAAACTATTAAAAATTTATATTACTAAATAAAAATCAGCCGAAGTTTTTGATTGTTTTTTTAATAATTAACTTAAACCGGTTAACTTAATTTTCATAAAAAAATTATGAATTTTAAAAAATTAATTCATTAACAATCTAATTATCAATTGTAAAAATTATCTGTCAAAAATATTTTGTTGATTAAAAAATACCTTACTATAAAATAGTTAAATAATTATTTATCAGCACTTCTGAAACAAAAGAAAATAAATAAAATCAAACATACAATTTACTTACAATTGTAGACAAGCTTTTCCATACTTTCTTTCTTCTGACCATGACGTTTGGAGAAGAAATAACCTAAACAAAGAAAAGCTCCAGTTAATATGTCAATACAACAATCACTCACAAACTTATGATGCAATTAATTGTTACCTTTTTTTAATAATTACAGCTTTTTGGAAGATCTTTCTAAGTTCTGTTTGACACAAACGTTCGTCCAAAGGTTAAGTGGATGTATGAAGAATATAAGATCAAAGGCTCTGGAAAATTGATTGTCAACAAATCTTCAACCAACCATCAACAAAATAAATTTAAATTAGTAACTTACCTGCCATCTGCTAACAATCATTCAAGACTTAAGTAAAGATATTCATCAAATTTTTTTTTATTAATTATTGTTATAAATAATTTTAATGATTGCATTTTTTAATTTAAAAATCATTTAGTAGATGGATAATTAATAAATTATTATTATGCTTTTATACATTACTTTATAATTTTATGAAAAAACTGTAAGTGCAATTTTTAAAAAATATTTTTTTTCTCTAATTTCATATTTAATGAAGAAAAATCAAAAAATTAAAAATGTCGGCTAACTTTAGTACTATAAATTAAATTAGCCGACATTTAAAAATTTTTATAATTTATTTTATTGGAAGATAATTTTTAAAAAATTAAAAGAAAAATTTTCATATATAGAAAATTAAAAAAATTATATATGTAATTTTTTAAAAATAGTTTTTTAGTTTTTATTTAATTAATAAAAAAAATTAAAAATTATTGAGTGTCGGTTAATTTTAGTTTCATTATAATTTTTTATTATTAGTTAAATTTTTATAATATTAAAGTCAGCTGTCATTTAACAATTTTTTAATTTTATTTAATAAAGAAATTTTTTGTAAAAAATTGTTTTTTAAAGTTCCACTTGTCAATTTTTTTGCACTAATTTATTTAATAAAAAATAGTTAAAATTATTAAATAATTGCTAAATTAATTTATAACATTATTAAAGTTAGCAGTCACTTGACCATTTTTTTATTGTTTTTTAACAAGCAAATTTATTTTTAAAAAATTGCATTAATTTTTTTTTGCAATAATTTATTTGTCACCAAAATTATTAAATATCAGCTAAATGAATTGCCATAATTTATAAAGAATAATAATAATATAAATAAAAATTCAAAAATAAAAAATAACGGAATAAAACATAACTGAAAAAAAAAACTTAAAAAAAAAAACCATAGAGGCGCTTGATGTATGCGCCGGCCCCCTGGTGGCATTTTAAAGAATCTCTCGATGAATGTGGAGAGTTTGATGCGCGGTCCCTTCCACTCGTGAAGCTCCCGCTCTAACCACTAGCGTACTGTTGGGTTAAAACGGAAAATATATCCATCATCAAGAATGCTCCCGATAATTATTGAATCCCCACTTGCCGTGTGAATAATAACAATTAATAAGTGTAAATTAAATAAAGTTTTAGTTTTTGGTCCCAAGTACCCGTGATACAGTGAAAGAAAAACGTTAAGTACTATAATAATAAATAACCAGCGCGTGCAAAATGGCCAAGAGAAATAACAACAACTCGGCTGGAAGACGGTCCTACGGTGAGAAGCCATACGATGTCAACAACGTGAGTTCAATTAGCTATTAATAACCAGCTCAAACACTTGCTCAATAATTATTCCCCGTTGTATAAATAATAAATAAATACGGTATTATTGTTGGTGTGATTGTCGTTTGACAAGTAGCCTTGCTGAGATCTTGCTTTTTTTTTTTCTTTAAATAGGTCAGCAACTCATCTGGATTTTTGACATTTAATTTTTTTTTTACCTCTAAAACATTAAAAGAAAATTTAACTATATGTTTAATTAAATGCAATAATACTTTTTAATCAAAAAGGATCTCTAGAATCCTCGAGAATTAAATATATTTTCCACGCACGCCATGCTCTGTACTTAACCTCAAAGTTACGACATCACTCGACACATTGATATTGATTAAAAAAAATTTGACATTTTAGAAATTTTTTCTTAATCAATTTATTATAAATAAATAATTTAAATTAATTTAATACATAAGATGTAAAGATTTCAGAGAGAATATGGATCAATTAATAAAATGCTACTGCATCTTAGGTAGCTTTAGTTAGTCAGAAAATTATTGACTTGATGTATTATATTTATTGTTTAATTTGGTGTAAGTCTTTTTATTTAGTTTTTTGTATATTGTAACGAGTACATAATTTTAAATATAAGTATTTCGGGATTAATTTGTCTGACGTGAATGCTAAATAAATTTAGAGGTAATATTAAAAATATTGTGTTTGAATTTTTATGACACTGAAGTTAGTAGACGGCTAAAAATTTTTGATTTTTTTTTATTAATTAAAATACAACTAAAAAGATATTTATAAAAAATTGCACTTATCGTTTTTCAAGTTCTTTACATGTGAAATTTTTTTTCTTAATTAATTATCTAATTAAAATTTTTTCAACAAAAAATTTATAAAAATTTTTAAATGTCGGCTAAGTTCATTTTCATAAATTTTTAATTATTATACAGTAACGGTCAAAAGTATTTTGACAAATATATTTAATTATTATACAGTAGCGGTCAAAAGTATTTTGACAAATATATTTAATGGTTTAATTAAAAATAAATATGAAACACAATAATAATTTATTTATTTACATATACATACACACTGTACTAATGACACTGAAGTTAGCAGAAGTCTAAAAATTTTTGATTTTTTTTATTAATTAAAATACAACTAAAAAGATATTTATAAAAAATTGCACTTATCGTTTTTCAAGTTTTTTACTTGTGAAATTTTTTTTCTTAATAGTTTAATTGAAATATTTTCAATAAAAAACTTGAAATGTTGGCTAATTTGATTTTCATGAATTTTTAACATTGTATAGTAACTATATATAATTTTTAAATGTTGTATAATTGTGTATATTTATGTCTTGTGCAGAGTCTGAAGAAGCTGATAAAATACAGCGAAACGTTGCGACCTAAGATTCTATTAATTGATCCATTATTTCATAGCTTGTCTATTTTATAAATTATAATCAATTATTTAGATCAAAATTAGAATTTTTGTCGATTATATTAAGAAGAGGTGATGTCAGGAATGACTAGCTGCGTTTACCAAGAAGTAATTCTGCTATCTATGAAAATTCTTTCCTAATTTAATTTATTAAATTATAACTAAAAAATATTTTTAAAAATTTACACTTATAGTTTTTGAAGTTTTTAACAAATGAAAAAATTTTTTTTTAATAATTATTTAATAAAAAGAATCATAAAATTTTTTAAATGTCGGCTAATTTTATTTTCATAGAAATTGACACCATTGAAAATTTTAAACAAGCTTGTTTTAATTTCTTCTTGCAATCAATATAATTACCATTTATCTTATAATTTAACATGTGAGTTATTAATTAATATCGATCTTTAAAACTGTAATGCAAACACTATCAAATGTATACTTGTAAACAATTAACTTTATGAATTGTTGATGGTCCTGAAGGAGCTTACAACTCCAGGATCTAATAAAATTTATTATTTATCTATCCATATTTTCTCTAAAATCTTTACATCTTATGTTGATGTTGGATTTTAATAGTTATAATTATTTAATACAATATTAATTAATTAAAATAAAATTTCAGTCATTTGTGAAGAAAATGGCCACTAGAGTAACAGATTTAATACCCCAGAGATCCTGGATAAGCAAGTGGTTCAATTCTCCAGGAAACGGGCTGGCTGATCAAGACACAGAAGAACAAGACGTTGAGGAAGAGTCACTGCAGCCGCCTTCAAAGCGGCCTTGCATACGATTGGACGTAACTCACCCCTCAGATACCTTTAAAATCCAGTCGCGTAATCGTACCACAAACAATTTTAATGCAAACACTATTAGCAACCACAATATTAATTACACAGCTCGTCGAATTAGTACCGAGCATTACGAGGACGCTGACGAAACAATGTCAAGTTTTCCGCAGCCAATTGCCGGATCTAGTAGATCTTTCGTAGCTTCTACGCCTACGCTGCGTGTCCCTGTTAGGTTGACTCACACCAAGTCAGATATTACCCCTCTTGCTCACCAGCAACACCAGCAGCCCCACCAGCAACATCAATCCCAGCCTCAACTACACCAGCAGCATGAAGCGAATGCAAATGGTGTAGATGACAATTCCGAGTCTAGTGAAAGCACCAGCGGGTGTAGTTCCTTAATTCCCCAGACCAGCAGACAAGACGGATTGTCTAACTTCATAATTTACCCATTTGCCAGTAATAAAAAGCTAAATAGTGATAATAAATTATCGTTTACGGATCACCTGCAGTCAAAATCTCTCCTATTCAATGGCAGAGATTCGCTAAGCTCTAGACGACCGAGTTTCAACGCGTCGATGGTCAGCAATGACAACAGTCCCCTAGAACGCGCTGCTGGTCTCTCCTCGCCGTTTTACAGCGGTAACACAACCTTCGGAGGTTCTAACGCGATCGGGAATTTCCGGGCGACAAGAAGACCCGGTCAGATCAATGACTTCCAGCTTAGAGTGCCCAAAAGGTCGAGTGTCCGCGTGAAACCTTCGAATTCCTCTACGACAGACGTCACGGGGATGAGCCAGACCGCTAAGAGAATCTTAGAGACTTTGGAACATTTTTCTTCGCCTATTACAGACGCAAAAAAGATTCCCGTAAAGACTCCACTGAGCACTTTTGCGTCGAGGAAGCGCGCTAGGGAGGAAGAAAGTAGTATAAATAGCACTACTTCTAATGTCGCTCCTATTGGACTGAGACACTTGACCAGAGAACTGGCAGTTCCCACGGTTCCCGATATGCTAAAGCTCAAGAGACGCCAGAGACTGACCAATACTACTCTAGCTGCCCGGAAAATTGTGTCAGCTCACAGCGAACCTGCGCCGCAGGTTAAGTCTAATGAGTATCATCTCAGAACTGAGACAGATGATAAAAAATTCATGGGGAAACTCAGGGCTAAGGGTAAGAAGAAAATTGATGAAGAGCCCAAAGAGGAGCTTAATCTAGCGCATATTCCTTTACCTATTACTACTTTGCCGACTTTTGATATTCCCATTTCTGAAGTTAAGAATAATTCTTCTTCTGCTTCTTCTTCTGTTATTAATAATATTAATAAAGGAAATTCTGGGCTAGAGCTAGAGACTAAGAAAACTAATTCTCCGTCCAAAGAAACGGGGCTGTTTAAATTTTCCAGTCCGATAAAATTGGACGGAGCTAATACTAGTCTCGAGTCAGACGGGCAGAAATTTACATTTTCAAAACCTATTAATTTAAATGAAGAAACATCTCCGAAGATTGTTAAGCCTAATTTTAATTTCAATTCTACAAGTCAGCCGACGACAAACTTTTTGTGGTCTGGATCGTCCACAGCTCCGAGACCCAAAGAGAAAAAAATAGAGCCTGAAAGCAAAATTGAATTGCAACCTGGAAGCGTTTTGGATGTTCTGGTGAAAAAGAGTGATAAGGCAGAAGAAATTTGGGAATGTAGGGAGTGCTTTATTAAAAATAACGATAGTAATGATCAGTGTGTCGCTTGTAAAGCTCGAAAGTCAGATTCTAAGGTCTCTAATTCTTCTACATCGTCTTCGATAGTTGATCCATCTGAAGGAAAAACGCAATTTGGAATGCAGTTTAAATTGAACGATAAGTGGGAGTGTGAGTCTTGTTTAGTAAGAAATCCAGCTACTGAAAAAAATTGTCTGTCTTGTTCAACGCAGCGGCAAGATAAGAGTAGCAAGAGTTCTAATAAATTATTCTCTAGCTTCAGTTCTAAGGTTGAAACTGCAAAGGAAGAAACTAAAGCTAATGCTAAAGCTGAAGAGAAGAAACCCGACGGAACATGGGAATGTCCCGGGTGTATGTTAAAGAATCCTTCTAATGTGATAACATGTCCTTGCTGCAACGCATCCAAGCCAGGACTAGTCAAGACAGTCAAAAACAGTCTGCCTATTGTTAAAATTCAGCAGAATGCTGCACAAAAATGGGAGTGTCCTTCCTGTATGGTCAGAAATGAACTTACGGCTTTATCTTGTGTATGTTGTGAAACACCCTGTCCTAATAAATCTTCTAAGACAAAATCTGTGCAAGCTCCAAAGCTAACGGCACCAATTACCAGCGGGTTTGGGGATAAATTTAAAAAACCACCTGGTTCGTGGACTTGCGACGCTTGTATGGTTCAAAACAAGGCTGAGGTTACTGAGTGTGTTTCTTGCAGTACTTTGAAACCCGGAGCGGCTCCCTTGAAGAAGGAAGAAGAAAAGAAAGAAGCTCCTAAATTCACCTTTGGAATTCCAGCTGGTGCTCAGCTTCTTACGAAGAATGATGAGAAAAAGTCTGGTGCTACGAATGGGTTCACATTTGCACCGCCTATGAGTCAGCCGTTTACTTTTGGCATTCCTAAAACCTCAGAAACAGAGCCTACGAGTTTCAAATTTTCTTCACCTACAACTATAGCGCCCAAAGCTACGGAAATTCCTCCTGTTAGTAGTACAGTCAGTGGGTTTACTTTTGGGGTTCCTAAGGCTGTTGAGAAAGTCGAGGAAAATAAACCGGTATTTTCTTTTGGAACTCCTAAAATTGTAGAGAAAGAAAAAGTATTTTCTAATCCGGCTACTAGTGTTAATTCACAAGAAAAAGATAAAACTGAAAAAACTACTCCGGGATTTTCATTTGTTTCTCCGGAAAATGTTGCAAGTGCGAGTTGTGATGTAGGAGCTTCTTCGACAGTTTTCACATTTTCAGAACCCAAAAATTTGAACACAACTGAGAATATTAAATTTGGACAAAGCCAACCTGTAACTGTGGCAGCTCCAGTGTCTGTAGCTGCTCCAGTAACAACTTCAGGATTTTCATTTACGAGTCCAAAATTTGCGGACTCTTCATCAGCTCCACCAGAAAAAAAAGCCGCCATTTCTTTTGGAAGTTCTGCACCAACTCCTGCTCCAGTTTTTGGATTAAATTCTGCAGCTAAGCCTGAAGAAAAATCCTCTTCACTGTTTGAAATTGCAGATAAGTCTAAGACGCCTTTTGGGGGGTTAGAAAAAAAATCCACAGGATTTGGTGATGAAAAAACAGTTAAAACAACTTTTGGTGGAGATAAGCCGATGTTTAGTGGTGCAGCATCTACGGCGCCAACTTTTGGATCTGCACCTTCTGTACCTACTACTGCAGCAATAACTCCCTCGTTATTTGGCTCCAGTACAGCGCCACAAAGTAGTATCTTTGGAACTGGTACTCCCAATTTTGGATCTTCTACGGGGCAAAATATATTTTCAGCTAAACCTGCTGATACTCCTGCACCTGCGGCGAGTAATTCAGGACTGTTTTCATTTGGAGCTACGTCGGGACAAAATACTCAGAATTCTACTGGAGGGTTCAATTTTAGTGGAGCTAATACGAATAATACGCCGCAGAAACCGATGTTTAGTTTTGGAAGTAATTCTGCTGCTCCAGTTCAGGCTCAAGCTCAGGTTCAGGCTACGGCGACGGCTACGGCTGGTGAAACGGGATTTGGAAGTACTTTCGGGAGCGCTGCTACGTCCCAACCACCGGCGTTCTCCTTCAATGCACCCAAAGCTGAGCCACCGGCTTTTGGACAACCGTCCGCTACACCGCTTCCTAGTATTTTTAATAATCAAGCTTCCGGGACATTGGGACAGAATTCTGGGAGTAGTAATATGTTTCATTTTGGATCTCCTGCTCCCGCCACTGGGTCTTCTACTGCCAGTGGGTCTACTGGATTTAATTTTAATACTGGGTTAAATGTAAGTATTTTTTTGGAATTTCTTTTATTATTTAGATTTATATTATTAAAGTAAAGGATATTATTTTATATTAGTTGTGAACAGGTTCAGGATTTTTAGCTTAATTTTGAAATAATAATTAATAATTTTTAATTTTTGATATTAAGGCGGAAAACAAAATTTCGAAATTTAATTTTATAAAAATAATATCTTGATTTTTTCTTAAGATTAATACAAAAGATGCAATTTTAGAAATAAGATTTTCAAAAGTTAGCTGAAATTTGAATTATCTATATTTAAAAAATTACCTTGTATCTTGAGAACTATTGACATTTTTTAAGATATAAGCTCATTTCGATGTTACACTCATCAAGACCTTTCATTTGAGTACCCACATCAATTTTTCATATATTTTATATATTTATTTATATATATTATATATATGTATATATGAAAAATATATCAATAATGCATGTAGGTACTCAAATGAAAGCTCTCGATAAGTGTAACATCAAGATGAGCTTATATCTTTAAAAACGTCAATATTTAAGAAAGTACAGTGCAATTTAACAAATATCTTGTGAACTATTGAAATTTTTACAGATATAAACTCATCTTGACATTACACTCATCGAGACCTTTCATTTGAGTACCCACATCAATTTTTCATATATTTGATATACTTATATATATTATATATATCTATATATGAAAAATATATCAAAAATCCATGTGGGTACTCAAATGAAAGCTCTCGATGAGTGTAACATCAAGATGAGCTTATATATTTAAAATCGTCAATATTTAAGAAAGTACAGTGTAATTTAACAAAAGTCATTATTTAATAAAGCAATATTTTATTTATTTATAGTTCACTAGTCACGGAAGTCACATAGTAACTAGGTCCCTAGTTTATTATTAATTTTAATTGAGAAATTAATATGAAAATATTAGTCATATAAAAACATTGAGACACTTCTTGTAGAAAATTAAATTTTACACCTAATAATTTTAACAAAAATCTTGAATCAAGTAATGAAGTATTAATTAATTAATAACTAATATATAAATTTTATTCCAGGCACCACCAACACCATCAGGTGGTTTCAAATTTAATCCCATGCCTTCAACACCGGGAATCGCCTTTGATCCTAACACACCTCCGACATTCAATTTCACTGGTGGCAGTGCAGTAGCCCAATTTAGGTAACTAATTAATTTTATAGTCAAATAATTATAATTAACAGTATAAATTAAATAAAAAAAAAAAAATTAACTTTTAATTTCAGTGCGGCACCACAACAAGCTGTAACGCAAAGAAAAATAAAACGAGCAGTAAGAAGAGCACATCCACGAACTTGAATAATTGTTATAATAATTATTTTAAAAAATAAATTTAAATCTAAAAAAAAATTTTTGCAACAATGTGCGGTTAATTCGTGTGTTTAAAAAAAAAATAAAAATAAATAAGTTATCAACTGTATAATTAAATAAACATAATACAAATTACGCGAGATAGATTAATAAGAAGCCAAAAAGACAGTTGTAATTATTCACGCGTCAACAACTTTAAATTGACATACTCTATAAATATTTTTACAAAAAATAAATCAAATAATTTTAACAAAAAAATTTTTTCAAGTACGGAAATAATTTTCCGTGCTTTAAAAATTTTTTTTTGTTAATATTAAAATTGTAATTGTAAAAATATCAGGGTAATTTTATTAAAAATTTTTTCTTTAAATTTTGACAGTTTAATTTAAATTTATTAAAATAAACTTCTCATTAATAAATTTGTTTATAATTTTAACGTTTATTTTTTTTTTTTTTTTTTTAATTTAATTACCTTGTTCCTTAATTGTATAATTTTGTTAAAAAAAAGTCTCAATTTTTGTTGCAAATTATTTAAAATAACTCTAAAAAAAAAATTGTATTAGTTTAATTATAATTTAGTTAAGATACTCGGGGAATAGTTTAATAAATATAAATTTTTTTAGACCGCTGTTTCTCGAAAAAAATAAATAAAATAAAATAATAAAATATAAAAAGAAAATAAACGTAAAAATTAAAAATATTGTAACATAATACGAAAATGGCATTCGGATAGTACAAATAATAAATTACGATTTACCCAATCGTTTCCATTGAGTAGATAAAATTTTATATTTTTTTTATATATAAAAAAACCAAATGATTAATAATCTTATAAATAATTAAATAAAAAAAAATGAAAAAACTGAATGCCATTTTCGTTAGAATATTAAATGATAATAATTATTATTATTATTATTATTAATTATAGCAATGATAAAAAAAATATTTGCTAAGTGTTTTATTGTAGGAAAAAAATACTAAGTGGACAAAATAAAAAAAAAATATAAATTTAAATTAAATCATTGTTTTTAAATAGTTATTAGTTTTAGCAACTAATTCATTATTATTATTATTATTATTATTATTATTAATTTGTGAAAAAATTATTTGATAAGTATTCATTAAATTCACTCTAATTTTATTTTTACCAGCAATTGATGTAATTCCACGCTATTATTTTTGTCTTGTTTAATATCTTCATTTTCTGACTGAAGATGATAATAAAAACTTGTTATCATAATTAAAAAAAAAATAATGGATATTTTTATTGGTTTTTTTTATTCCTGCTATTTAATAACTTGGAGAAAATTTTTTATGCATTAGTTAATTTTAGTGATCACTTAAACTTTCATTACTAGTCATAACTTCATAATTGGTAAATAATTATTAATTTATTGTTTTTTTACTAAACTTTCTCGTGTTAAATAACTCAGAAATAAAAAAAAATTTCTAATAATTTATATTGTTGAAAGAATAAGAATAATTTTGGTTCCAGGATGGTCATATGATTTAGGTTGCATTCAAAAATACTCTATCTCTAGATACATAATTATGAAATGACCTTGTATCTTGTGAACTATTGACATTTTTAAAGATATAAGCTCATCTTGATGTTACACTCATCGAGACCTCTCATTTGAGTACCCACATCAATTTTTCATATATTTTATATATTTATATATATAAATATATGAAAAATATATCAAAAATGCATGTGGGTACTCAAATGAAAGCTCTTGATGATTGTAACATCGATATGAGCTTATATCTTTAAAAACGTCAATGTTTAAGGAAGTATAGTGCAATTCAACTAATATCTCGTGAATTATTGACATTTTTACAGATATAAGCTCATCCCCACATTACACTCATCAAGACCTTTCATTTGAGTACCCACATTAATTTTTCATATATTTTATATATTTATATATATTATATATATATGTATATATGAAAAATATATTAAAAATGCATGTGGGTACTCAAATGAAAGGTCTCGATGAGTGTAACATCGAGATGAGCTTATATCTTTAAAAATGTCAATAATTAAGAACTGACATTGCTATCTTGTCAACTACTGACATTTTTAAAGATATGAGCTCATCCCGATGTTACACTCATCAAGACCTTTCATTTGAGTACCCACATCAATTTTTCATATATTTATATATTTATGTATATTATATATATAAATATATGAAAAGTGGATGTGGGTACTCAAATGAAAGCTCTTGATGAGTGTAACATCGTAATGAGCTTGTATCTTAAAAATCATCAATAATTAAGAAAGTACAGCGCAATTTAACAAAAGTCATTATTTAATAAAGCAAAATTTTATTTATTTATATTTCACAAGTCAAGGCAGTCACGTAGTGACTGCAATGTTGCAAATTTTTAATGGATTAATTTTATATCATAAAATAAATTGTTCTTAATTTTAATTATCATTTATTTATCATTATAATCTGTCAACAATTGTGTAAAAAAAACAATTAAACTAATAGGGCAAAGACACTATTAATTAATCTCATTTAATTAAAAATAAAAATAAAGAAGAAATAATGTATATATACATTGTTTTTAATCCTTTTATTAAAGAAAATGTACTTAAAAATAACTAATTAATTTTTAATAGTAATAATTATAATATTTAACCAACGCTGTTGTTATAATTATTAAAATAGTAAAAATAATCATTAGAAAATTTTAAATACTTACAAACTATACACGGTTACATTTTAATCGACTATTTAATAGTCAGCTTTTTAAAAATTATAATACAAATAAATAGAAATAAGTGATGACGTGTTTTACCGATCAACCACCAGTGACTTTACCCTATTTTATTTATTTATTTATTTATTTATTCAATTAATTAATTAATTATTTTAATAAAAGTTTATTTTAACTTAATATTTTTTTTTTGTAATTAATTAATTACAAGGAAATAAGAAAAAGCAAATCTACACGAAACAAAAGCCTTTGTTTATACTCGTAATTTATTACTACGTTTCAATAATTAAATTAAATTAAATTTCTTTACAATTGACGATTGGAATAAGCCTATTTTTTTTTTTTTCGACAAGACTTATTGACCTCGATTGACCTTAAGGCCTTACAACAAAATTAATATAATCAACCTTGATAACAAGTGATTGAAAAAAAATAATTAATACATTAAAAAAGTATATAAAAAATTGTGAATAATTAATAAAATAAAATGGTCAATAAATTCTGCTATTATTTTAAATCAATCGCATTCATACGATCAAATATCTAAAAAATAAAAATTTTCTTTTTCTTCTCTATCGTCTTGAATTATTAAAATGCTTTTTTTTTTTTTTTTTTTTTTTTTTTAATTAATTTAACTTTTTAAGAAACACTGTTGTCACAACACAAGTAGTACAAAGATGCGAATTTTTTTTATACAAGTCAGTACAAGTATTCAAAGTTTAAGAATTGATATTTATTTTTTAATAATATATTTATTTAAATAATGAAAAAAAAATATATATACTAAGGTGGCCCAAAAAAACTGACTATTTTTTTTTTTTTTTAGTTTCGAGTGGAAAAATATTAATTTTTGAGGTTTTAAGAGACCTGACCAAAGGGCAGCTCAGAAAAAAATTTTTAAGAGGTCGCTCAAAATTTTTTTATATTTTAAAAATCAGATTTTCTTTTTTTTCGTTACAGTATAATTTTATAGACCAAAAAAAGTAAGTTTCGGAAAATTTCAATTCAAAATTTAAATTTGGAAACGTCGCGCATAATTTTTTTTTCGTTAATGCTGTAGTTGATTAAATAAAAAAAAATATGTATTCTATATTGTGCTTGATTTTTAGTTCATCTCGTAGTGTAATTTTATATTTTATTATACTAAAGAAAAAAAAAAAATTCATAGAATTTTATTTGAATATTAAAAAGTCGCTCGAAAAAATCTTAAGTAATGCACTGTAAAATTGTCAAATTGCACTGTACTTACTTAAATATTGACATTTTTAAAGATATAAGCTCATCCTGATGTTACACTCATCAAGAGCTTTCATTTGAGTACCCACATGCACTTTTCATATATTTTTCATATATACATGTATATAATATACATAAATATATAAAATATATGAAAAAGTGATGTGGGTACTCAAATGAAAGGTCTCATCGAGTGTAACATCGAGATGAGTTTATATCTTTAAAAATATAATAAGTTGATAAAATACAACATAATTTCTTAATTATTGACATTTTTAAAGATATAAGCTCATCCCGATGGTACACTCATCAAGAGCTTTCATTTGAGTACCCACATGCACTTTTCATATATTTTTCATATATATACATATATATAATATACATAAATATATAAAATATATGAAAAAGTGATGTGGGTACTCAAATGAAAGGTCTCGATGAGTATAACATCAATATGAGTTTATATCTTTAAAAATGTCAATAGTTCACATGATACAAGGGCATTTCTTAATTATGTATCTAGAGACAGCATTAAAAAAAATTGGAGTGACCTCTTAAAAATTTTTTTTTAAGCTGTCCTTTGAAGAGGACTCTCAAATCATCAAAAACTAACATTTTTTCACTCGAATAAAAAAAATAGTCGATTTTTTTTACGCCACCTTAATTAATATATACCTAAAGTCGATAATTTTTCCCCTACGCTAAATGACGACTGTATTTATTATTGATTTGAATCGATTACAATAACTGCTTTTCGGGGATAGGCCTAATGCGTTTTCCCAGAGAGGTCTTTAACATATTTCCTTACTCCTTTAATTATTTATTAATTAATAATTAATAATTGATTTTTTTTTTTTATTTATTTCATATACTTTATAATTAATCCGTAATTATTATTATAAATGGATGATGATAACGAGGATGACGAGACGATAATGATGATGATGATGAAACGACAATGCTAAATGACGATAAAAATTAATTATAATAATAATTGATAATTAATTATAGATTGAGAAGCGAAGCCTATCCTCTCTAGGGAGCCCAATCATCATTCGCTAATTCATATCACTTTTACATTAATGACATAATTTAGGTACACTTCTTAATTATTTTTTTTTTATTTTTCTTTATATTTTTTTTTATTTTAATATTAATGAGAATAATAATTATGTTTTTATTCTTGTTTACTTGCGTGAATTAATTATAGGTTTCTTCATTATCGTTATTATTATTAATATTATTATTATTTTTATTATTAATCAATAATTTTTATAGTCTCTTACACTAAGAGTCATCAGCCATAAAGGAGTTTTGGGATTTCAGCTCCTCCAAGGTGTGGATTTGTTGGCGTAAAAATAATATCCTGTAAAAAAAATTACAATTTTTATTATTATCAACTCTAGCACAATAAATTTTTATTGTCAACTTTTTTTTTTTTTCTTAAATTAGTTAATAAATTTATTACCTTTGTTCTTGTAATGTAGCTTGAATTTCAGTGAGCCTTACTAACGATCGAGCAGTCTTAAGCTCTGCTGAAACTCTAGTACACTGTAAGCTTCCCATTGTGTGTGCTTCTTCACTTAATTTTTGAGCCTGATAAATTAATAAAAAATTATTATTATTATTATTGATTAAAAATGATACCAATAAAAAATAATTTTTAATTCTTTAAGAAAATTTAATTTATTGTGATAAGTATTTAGACTGCATTTGAAATTGCTCTATCTCTAGATACATAATTAAGAAATGACCTTTTATCTTGTGAACTATTGACATTTTTAAAGATATAAGCTCATCTCAACATTATACTTATCGAGACCTTTCATTTGAGTACCGACATGCATTTTGATATATTTTTCATGTATACAAATATATAATATTTGTAAATATAGGAAAAACATATCAAAAATGCATGTGGGTATTCAAATGAAAGCTCTTGATAAATGTAAGAACGGGATGAGCTTATATCTTTAAAAAAGTCAATATTTAAGAAAGTACAATGTAATTTAATAAATAATCTTGTGAATTATTGACATTTTTAAAGATATAATCTCATCCCGATGTTACACTCATCGATACCTTTCATTTGAATACCCACATCAATTTTTTCATATATTTTATATATTTATATATATGTATATATGAAAAATATATGAAAATGCATGTAAGTACTCAAATGAAAGCTCTTGATGAGTGTAACATCGGGATGAGCTTATATCTTTAAAAATGTCAATATTTAAGAAAGTACAATGCAATTTAACAAAAGTCATTATTTAAGAAAGCAAAATTTTAATTTTTTATAGTTCACAGGTCACGGCAGTCAAATAGTGATTGCAAGCTTATTATTATTATTATTATTATTATTATCGATCCAAAGTTATGGCAATAAGCAACAGTTTTTGATTTTTTAAAAAAATGTAATAATAATAATGTAGCAATTAATTAAAATTTTATTATTACTATTAATCTTCGTAAAAAAAAAGTTCAACATTGAAAGTAAAAACAAACCTGTTTCTCAAGAATATCAGCCGGAAAAGCGCGAACATGTTGAGTCAAATCTTCCCGATAATGATTAGCAAGTGAAGGTGTCAAGGAAGGTGTTAACGGTGGCTGAACTCTCGAAAGCGCTTGTAACCCTCCAGCACTACCAAGACTACCCAGAGAACCCAACGTACTGACTCCCTGCAGCGAACTGAGTCCCTGGACACTAGCATTTAATCCTCCAGGACTCACCACTGTCAATCAAAAATTTTCCAATCAAATAACACCATAAATAACAAGCTAAAAATAAACAATAAAAAAATTACTCTTTCTCGCATCAATACAATCTTGTGTCTCCGAATGAGTCGGTGTCGGCGGACCTTCATTCGTAGAATTGACATTACCGCTGGTATCAACTTTTAGAGGCGCCATATGATCGTTACATCCTCGATCACTACTTCCTGACTGCTGAAGGAATAATTAGTCAAGAATTAATAAATTAATTAATAAGAATTAATCAAATAATAAAAATTAATTAATTAATAAAAATTAATAAATTAGTAAGAATAAATAAATAAAATATAAAAAAAAAAATAAATAAATAAAATTATAGAGATAAAACTTACTTGTCGCGACAGAAAAAGAGCAGTCTGTATAGTTTGAAGTGCCTGCTTAGGTGTAATATCATTCTGATCCTTACTACCAGTTATTTGTGACAATAATCTCGGCAAATTAGCGAGAGTAACCGGAGGACCAGGTGCATTGCTGTTACCAGGTTGACTACTGTGCGTCGTAGGAGATGACGACAATTTTCCAGTTGTCGAGGGTAAAGATGTGGGTGGATGAGAAGATAATCTTGGGAGCGCGGTGGCCAGGAGCACAGGTCCTTGGGGCATTGTGTCGTGAAGAGATGTCTGAGTTTCCGAGGTCGGCGTGGAATCACCCGGTGATATGTCCATGTCCTGGGACTGACGCTCGCCGCCACACATGTCATCTCTGTCACGTTGCTGCTGCTCACGTTCTCGCTGCTGCTGCTGTAGTTCGCGTTCACGCTCACGCTGTTCTCGGTCGCGCTCTCGCTCCCTTTGTTCGCGGTCACGCTCGCGCTGCTCTTTGTCGCGCTCGCGGGAGGATAACAACAGCAAATCATCTCTGCTGGAACTGCCCACACTATTGCTGGGTTGATTGCTTCCTGAACACGATCCCCAGTACTCGCGTTTGTCTATTTGCCGGGATTTGCTGTCCCTTATATTGCTACTGTTGGCTCGCGAGTTGGAATGTTTATCATGACCTTTGTAATTTTAATTGTTACAATTATTATTTGTTTTGCTGTTAATTATTTCTATATGGTAACATTCTTTATGGATTTTATTGATAATTATTACGCTAAGAACAAAAATTTAATTAAAAAAAAATGAGCAATTTTGTAATAAGAAATTAATTTTGACTAGAAACCTTGCAATCACTCTGTGGACTATGAATGACTAGGATTTTACTTTATTAAATAATGACTTTTGTTCAATTGCACTGTACTTTTTTAACTATTGATGTTTTTCAAAATATAAGCTCATTATGATGTTACACTCATCAAGAGCTTTCATTAGAGTACCCACATGTACTTTTCATATATTTTTCATATATACGTATATATAATATATATAAATATATAAAATATATGAAAAATTAATGTGGGTACTCAAATCAAAGGTCTCGATGAGTGTAATGGCGTAGTGAGCTTATATCTTTAAAAATGTCAATAGTTCACAAGATACAAGCCAATTTCTTAATTATGTATCAACAAAAAAGTTTTAAGAAATATTTTTATTAGCTAAAAAATAAAATTGTTTAAAATTTTAAACAAATTTATTTCTTATTCCAAAATTGCCCATTCAATTAAAAATAATTTTTTTTTCTCAGGTACCATATAAAAGTTTGATACAAATTTTAAATATAAAAAAATACATACTTGACCTAGATGAATAATCATTCGATTGACGTTGCCTACTGTCATTTCGAACAATCCATTCACGTGGTTTTTCCCACTGTGATACTTCTGTTTTGCAGTTGTAATAATACTTTTTACCTGATGAACTCAAGTGTTCTGACCAGTCACCGAACCTTGCTCCTCGTTCAACGACACCACCTCGTTCATCTCCTCTTTTATCCTACAATTTATTCGTATAAATTCGGTCATTGTTTTTTATGAAAAAATTCAACATTTATATAATTCAACTGAATCAAATTTAATTAAATTAAAATGATAAACAAATAACTCAATTAAATATACCTGACAAGAGTTGTGTGCAGGTTTCCGCTGCGACGATTCTCGGGAGGAATTAGATAGTTTTATGGGATGCAAGATCTTGAAACAAACAAATTTTTTTTTTATATTTTTTAGTTCTAAGTCATGATTTAAATATTTTTTTACAAGCTGAGACTAATAAATTTTTGTTCACCAGCTTGTAAGTTTAATAAATATTAAAAAAATGTATTTATAGAACCTATGAAGGATATTTATAACTTCTTATTTGACATAAATTTTCATTTTCATTAAAGTTTGTTTGATTAATTAATACTTCAAATACTTCAATTAATTTTATTTTTAATTTAAAGATATGAACTATTAAAAAATTTTTTAATTTTTCTATAAAATTTATAAAAATAAATTACCTTTATAATTACTCAAAATAAAAAAATGAAAATTACTTTTTGTAATAAAATATAAATCTAATAATTTACCTCTCCACCACTCCTGTCATGATTGGTCCGGTGCTCAGAATCCCGACTGTCACGGCTTCGTTTGTCTTTTGGAGATCGTGCACAATCTAGACATACAAGCATGTATAAGCTGAAAATTATCAATAAAATGTCATCCAGCTTTTATCCTGATTGACTCTAGATACTTTTGTTATCAATTACAACATACAGTTGGATTATCAATACTAGCAACCTTACAGTGATTATGTGAACTATAAATAAATAGTATTTTGCTTTATTGAATAATAGCTTTTGTAGAATTTTACTGTACTTTCTTAAATATTGACGTTTTCAAAGATATAAGCTCATCTCGATGTTACACTCATCAAGAGCTTTCATATGAGTACCCACATGCACTTTTCATATATTTTTCATATATACATATATATAATATATATAAATATACAAAATATATGAAAAATTGATGTGGGTACTTAAATGAAAGCTCTCGACGAGTGTAACATCAAGATGAGCTTATACCTTTAAAAATGTCCAAAGTTCTCAAGATACAAGATAATTTCTTATTTGAGTATCTAGACTACCCTGGACACAAAATTCATCTTATTCTCTTAACAATGTAGATAAAAATAATTGATATACAAGTACCGGAATACTTTTCTCGTGAAGAAGATAACTTGTAGTCTCTATTTTCTCTCTCCTTCTTATAAAGAGGTTTGGTTGTGTAGCTACGTGGACTCTCGCGATCCACAGGCATGCCCATGCCCAATCCACCAGCTGGACTATACGAATTACCATTTGGAGAATCGCGCATTCGTCCCTCGTAACGATTGTCCGATGACACTGTTGATGAGGGATAGCCGCCTTTTGAACCGCTGTACTTGGCGTTCTGCTTCGACACACATCACCAATTAGCTCTTCAGTCATCAAAATTATCAATTGTTTTTCTCCAGTCAGTTTCATTATTAAATTCTCCCTCAGAAAACTTTATTTATTTTTTTTAAATAGCTATGATAATAAAAGCAGCTGATTTTTTAAACTTTCCATAAACTTTATCAAGTGTCAAAATTCTACGCGTTATTAAATTAAAAAAAAAAGTGTAAGTTATTTATAAAAATCTAATAATTCTATTTTTTAATCAGTATCTACAATTAAATAATTAAAAAATTTTTTTTTTCAGCAACTTATTGATTTTTTTTCTTAAAATGAGGTTATGTTGTCATTTTCAACTTTATTAATTATTGAATAATTAATAAAATTAATTATTTATAAATAATAAATTAATTAATTTATTTACTCAAAAATAATTAATAATAATAATAAATAAATTTTTTTATCAAAAAAAAAATTTTTTTAATTTTTAAAAAAATAAATAAAATTTTTAATTTTAAATAATTTAAAAATTTCAATTATTTTTTAAGTTAAAAAAAAAAAAATAAAATGCAAAAAATAAAAAATTTTAAACACTCAATTGAGTTGCTGTCAACGTCCGAGCGTAAATGTCCTCAATAAATAACAATGATAATAAAAACCAACTGAAAAAGAATCTAAATGTTTAAATAAACATATTGAAGTAATTTAAGTGGTTAAAAAAAAAAAAAAAAGTAAATAAATATTAAAATTTATCCCCTCTAAAATAATATTTACCTGATAGGGATGGGTTTGGTGCTTTTCGAAGTACCTGAAATAAAATAAAAACAATTATTAATATTATTGAATATTAAAAATGTAAATAAATTTTATAAGTAAAATAAATAAAATAAATAATAAATAGACAAGTAAAAATTCAATGGCGGTTGTGAGAATTGAGACAAGTTGATGAGGTTCAAGTGGGATAATAAATAAAAAGTTATTTTGGATTAAGTTTACAAAAGGTGAGTGGTAATTGTGGGTAGAAGGTTGTTAAGGAGAGTGTTTGTCAAGATGAAGCGTCAGTTTGTTAATAAAGTCAGGATGGAGCAATCGTCGGGATAAAAAAATGTAATATTTAAGACTGTAGAATAGAATAAAGTGTTGTCTTCCTGGTGTCCTACCCATCGCTGATCCTTTGTGGTTTCCTCGCATGCATTACCATCAATGCCGGTGTCTTTATTTAATTCGCGGCTCTCGGTTTTATATTTATATATATTTTTAATAATATATCAAATTAATGTCATAAAAATAACATTAACGTTTGGATTGTAACAGTCAACTTTCATCCTACCCGGACGCCATGTCACTTCTTTAGTTCTTTAGTGAAACGAACCGCAGTCTTTGCTATACACTCCGGCTAAATTCACTCATCAAGTATAGTCGCGTCAAAATATTCGACAATTATCAAAGATTTCTTCTTTAGCAGCGGAACTGCTAAATTACTTGTGCTATAGTGTTCTGGATTGCTCTGTCTTCCTCACTCTCAGATGCAAGGTTTTATTTTCTCAGACGGTAACTCAACGCGGGTTTATATAGACTGTACTGACATGTGTTGTTGCTGTCACTTTTGCTGGAACCACGGTCTTTAACTCTCCTGTCAAATATTTTAAAAGTGTCTACAATACAAAGTTAAGTATTTTTATATTTTTTTTTATTTATCTTTTTTTTTTCTATCTCAAAAATTTATAAAAGTAAAGTTAGCCGATGATATTTAAAGTTAGCCGACGTTTTTAATTTTTTGATTTTTTTTTTAATAATTAAATTAGAACAAAAAAATATTTTTAAAAAATTGCACTTACAGTTTTTCAAGTTTTTAACAAATGACAATTTTTTTTTCTTTTTTTTTGTAGTAATTTTTTCAATAAAAAAATTCTTTTTAATTTTTAAATGTCGGCTAACTTAATTCTCATAGTTAGTCGACATTTTTATTCTTAAATTTTTTTTTTTAATAATTAAAATAGAACAAAAAAATATTTTTTAAAAATTGCACTTACAGTTTTTAAAGTTTTTTACAAATGAAATTTTTTTTTTCTATTTTCTTGTAGGTAATAATTTTTTCAATAAAAAAAAATTCTAAAAATTTTTAGATATCGACTAACTTAATTTTCATAAAAAATTTTATAAATTAATAAAATGACAAGTTTTTTTTTATTTTTATAATAATAATAATAATATTAAAAAAAAATTAATCAAATATTTTTTATTATAATTAGCTATGTTTTATTTAATTATAGTAATTTTTAATAATTAATAATAATAATAATGATTATTATAAAATTTTTTTTGCTTAATTTTATTTTTAAATTATTTTGACAAATGCGGTTAGAATGAACCTCTGATGACATCTTGCAGCAGAAAAAATAATTTTTTCAATAAAACACATTTCTGATAGATGCAATTGCACGCAGTGGTTAATTGTTATAAGAAAATCACTCAATAAAAATAAATAAATAATAAACAATAATAATAATAATTTATTATTGTTTTTTAAATATAAAGTTTTACTGAAATTACAAAACTCAACGGATGAAGTTTGAAGCTCTCTCTTCAGAATGTGAAAGGCGTTTGTTAGGGAGTTAGAAGCCACTGAAATTTTGACAGAAAGATTGTAAACAATCAAGTAAGTGTAATATGTTTGTAATAAGCCAAAAAATCGACTTTTTTCAAAAGTTATTATCAAATCATAAGAAAAATAAAAATAAAAAACTTTAATTTTATAGTAATTTAAAAAAAATAAAAAGTTAAATTTTCGGCATACTTTATTATGAAAATAAAGTTAGATGACATGTAGAAATTTTTAGAATTTTTTTTTATTGAAAAAAATATTAAAAAAAAAATTTTTTTATAAAAAAATTAAAAAACTGTAAGTCCAATTAGATATATTTCTTAGTTCTAACTTAATAAATTAAACAAAATCAAAAATGTCGGTCAACTTTAATGAAAATTAATTTAGCATATATTTAATAATTTTAACAATTTTATAACAATTAAATTATGGCAAAAAAAAATTGACATGTAGAAATTTAAAACAATAAAAAATGCAATTTTTTAGAAATAATTTTTTGGAACAAATTTTTTTGATAAATAAAATAAAAAAATTGTTAAGTGACTGCCAACTTTAATGTCATCTTACTTTATAGTTATTATTTTATTAGAAAATAATTATAGAAGTACTAATATATTTTTTATATTATCCAGGTAAATTGAAACATCAGCTGTGAAGAATAAAATTCCTCTGAAGTATACTTCCATCCAAATTTTTACAACCAAGGCCAAATTCAGTATATTCAATGCAATAAAATTTAAAAAAATGGAGGTGAGTCCTTGTAACGAAAGCTTACTAAGCAAAGATGAAACCATGAAGACCCAATATAAAAACAGCGAAAGCATGGAGGAAATTTTCAGCTGGAGTCCTGAATTTTCAAAAGATCTCTGCCAGAGTATCTCCAACCAAAACCACACAATTCTCCTAAACTTACTGCATAAGTACATAAAAAATGTCTCCGAGGAAGCCAAAAACCCAAACTGCAGCCAAAAACCCAAATTAGCAGCTGAGTTATCAAACCACATCAATCGTACGCTCACCTTCTTCTACTTCTACTGGCTGGACATCAAAGAGCAGTGCGACGACCAAGTAACCAATTTTTACTTGAACAAAATATCTGATTTGCTGTCAATTTACCTCGAGATTAAATTACCACCCACTAATTTATCCAACACGATTTTTATTAACTTAGAAAACACAACAGAGCACGTGCTGCGTGTTTTGCTAAACGCCAAGCTTTCAAAGCTCGACCACTTGATTTACGAGCCTATTTTCACCAAGTGCTTCAGCAAAAGCTCTTCTGTAACAGCCACGTCGTACGTATGACAATTACTGGGCCTGAAGCTCTGGAGAAGTCTCAAAGATTCTCCAGAAGACCTTAAAAAAATCGACGACATCGCTGTGAATCTCTTAGGGCCTCATCCACCTTCTTCTTCCCTTATATCTAATCTATTGCCTAATAATTTAACAAACACGACTCTAGAGTGGCTGCAGCAGCCCTTCGATCTCCGGAAACACTGGACTAACTTTGTAAATTACGAGTCTCGTCCAACTGGACGAGTTGTCCAGGACGACGGGTCCTAGCAGTTGCTTAACTCCGTCGCTAGCCGACGGAGTTCGATGTCCTTAGAGAAAGTCCATAGAGAAAGTTTTAAAAATAGCAAACGCAAACGACCTGGTAAGGTGATACATATCGATTTGACGGACGATGAACCTAAAGAAACAACTGTATGCTGTGGGGAGAAAAAAAAATTCACGAGTGGGAGTTTACGATGGGTCAAAAAAATTCTAGAGCTAGATAAAGTTAAAAGGAAAAATGAACGTGGTAAGAATAATAATAATAATAGTGATGTCCAGATCGTTGATGCTCACAGTACTGCTAATTATGGGGATATTAATGATAAAATGCCAAATTATAAAGCTGTATTTGTTAATGAAGTTAGTGAGAGTAATTCTACAAATTTAATGTGTCAAGATATTAATAATTATAGTACCTTATTACAAGTTACCGATAATTGCAGTAGAAATAATAATAATAATAATAATAATAATAATAATGCTATCACTAGTAACAATAACAGTAATAATAATAATAATAATAATAATAATAATAATAATAATAATAATAATAATAATAATAATAATAAACCAGAAAATTTATTATTATTTTATAATGATAAATTAAATTATGATTTAACTGCTAAACAATCTTGTTCTAGTAGTAATAAAAGTTCAAATGATGTACAGGAATTAATTATAAATAATAGATATAAAAAAATTAAAAATAATGATGATGATGATAGTGATTATGATAATGATATAAGTAATTTAGAAATATGTCCTGTTACGACTACTGTCAGCTCTGAAGATTTATCTGGTGATAGTATTTTTTGGGATAATGTTAATTTATTCAAGTATAATGATTATAAATTAGAATTTGATATGGATAATAATTACTCTGATTTAAAACCAACCTGTGAGATAAATTTAATGAAAGGAGATGAAGTTATGACGGAAATGGAGAGTGATGTAGGAATTTTGGATATTTTGCAAGATGTGCCAATTGATAGACCGGGAAATTGGAGCTACTTGTTTGATTGTCATTTGGCGAATATTGAATCTCCGGATGCGATTTTGTCGAGTACTGAGCTGATTGATCCGATGGTTACGAAGAAGGGTTTTTCTAAGCATAATTATATGGTCTCGCTGGGGTTGAGTAAAAAAGATTGTGAAGAGAAAAATAATGAAGGTGATGAAGCTTTGGAAGGTCAGTTTGATGAAGATGATGATAAGAAGGAAGATAATTTTGATGATTTTGGGAGACAGTCTTCCTCTGGTGTTTCTTCCACTACTTTAATTATTTCTGAACAGTGCCAACCGAGGGTAGATGGGAAAGCTAATCGACGAAGTAAGGAAGTAAGGGGGATTATAGAACCCGCATTGAAGAAAAAGAAGAAAAGTAAAATTTTTCAGCATAGAAGATTGCATTTTAAAGAAGGTATTAGATTGATAATTATTATTGTTTTTATTTGATTTTTTTTGTATATTAAAAAAAAAATTAGTTCTACGCTGAAGATTATCGGTGAAGATTTTATTAAGTTATTCATAGAGTTTATTAAAATTTTTTAATTATAATTTTTTATTATTGAAAGGAAAAAAAAGTAATTAATAGGAATTTTTAATAAGAGAGAATTAAATTCAACACTGAAGATCACCAATGAAGATTTAAAAAAAAAGACTGGAGCTCTGTGATATATCAATATATTAATTGTTAATTAATTATAAGGCGAAAGGTCATGCCAATAGAAAACTTTTTATATTGTTAATTAATAAAATAATATTTTTACAGATTTTGAGTCATTGAAAAAAAATTAAAGCGACTTTTGGGTAAGTTGAAAAATTTTTTTTTTTAATATTACAATGTGTAATCTATATCATTAAGAGAATAAGGAAAATTTTGTTTTAAAGATAGTCATATGATAAAATCGGTTTTTTTAGTGAAATTTAGTGTCATTGCAAAGGTCTTGATTTGAATTTGTACCTTTTTAAAGTTTCATTTCATACTCACCGATAGTCAATTTATATGATGAGTATTTAGGTTTCATTCGAAAATACTCTATCTCTAGATACATAATTAAGAAATTACCTTGTATCTTGAGAACTATCGACATTTTTAAAGATATAAGCTCATCCCGATGTTAGACTCATCGAGACCTTTCATTTGAGTACCCACATCAATTTTTGATATATTTATATATATTACATATATGTATTTTTTAAAGATATAAGCTTATCCTGATGTTACACTCATAAAGAGATTTCATTTGAGTACCCACATCAATTTTTCATATATTTCATATATTTATATATATTATATATTGTATGTATGAAAAATATATGAAAAGTGCATGTGGGTACTCAAATAAAAGCTCTTGACGAGTGTAACATCGAGATGAGCTTATATCTTTAAAAACGTCAATATTTAAGAAAATACAGTGCAATTTAACAAAAGTCATTATTTAATAAAACAAAATTTTATTTATTTATAGTTTACTACGGCAGTCACATAGTGACTGCAAGATTGCCAGTAATTATTAATTAATTATTTTATTTACAGCTTGAAGATGCAGAATTCATCGCTTAAATCAAGATACTCGTTCAGATAATAATAAGAATAATAATAATCCAAACAGTATTTTACAATTATGCGAAAAAATATTCAAGACAATTTAATTAAGCCAACGTGTTCAAATTTATATTTTATATATAATAACATTAATAATTATGCTAAAATTTTACGCGTTTAAGGTATGTAATCAGTGCCATTTTCTTAATTTAATTATTCAGCATTAAAACTTGAAAATACTCAATTAAATATTTTTTTTACTTATAAAAAAAAATGTAATTATTTTTTTAATTTTTTAAACATTTTTTTTTTATTTAACTTAAGATTATACTGAATGTACTCGTTAATGTAATTAAAGACAATTTAATACACAAATTATCTATTTATTTACAAATAAAATAAACTAAAATCCATTTAAAGTTTAAATACCTCTGATAAAAATATCTATAGACAAAAGTAAAATAAATATTTTATTTATTCAAATAGAGATGGACATTCAACAAGCTGATAAGTTAAAAGTAAAATTTATATAAGTACAAGAACTCATTAAGTAAAAAGCATAATACCAGCGCTTGCGCTTTTATTATTTTTCATTTTACTGGCGTATATATAAAAGCTCCAGGCGAATGATATAAACCAGCGTTCAGTCAACCAACGTTCAGTATGTCGGTGCGTGTTACACTCTCGTCATCTAATAATTTATATCTGTTTAAAATAAATAATATAAACAAGTTTATCTAACCGTTCTTAATTAAAATCAATCATTTTAAAAAGAAATTTTTTATTTTGTTATTAAATTTATTAAAATTTTTTTTTAAGTGACATTTAAGTAAAAAAGAAGATGATTCATGAGAAAAGTTTAAAAGTGTCAAGAAAGTATTTATAAGTATACAATAAACGTAAGTTAATAAAATTATTTTTTTAAATTATTGTTATTATTATTATTATTATTCTAAGATCGGTGATTTTATTTATTAAAGAGCATTTATTTTATAAGCCAACTAACCTGATCCATTTGAAGACTATTTAATTTTTATTTAACTATTTTCACCACAATATTGTCGGTATGAGCACTTATATTATCTTCAGGTGAATTATACAGTATAAGTAGCGCTGAAAAATATTTTGACAATATTTATGCTCTAGTTTTTTTTTAACAATGTCAAAATACTTTTGAGCCGCCATTTTTTTAATATTTAAAAAAATTAAAATTTCTTTTGTTACAAATTTTAAACAAAGACCACTTTGACAATATTCTTTAGAATATTTAAAAGCTGTTAAAAAAAAAAATAAATAATTATTATTATGTTTTATATTTATTTTTAATTAAACCATTAAATATATTTGTCAAAATACTTTTGAGCGCTACTGTATAATAAATGAAAATAAAGTTAGCTGACATTTAAAAATTTTTAGAAATTTTTTATTGAAAAAATTTTAATTAAAAAATTTAAAAAAAAAATTTCACATGTAAAAAACTTTAAAAACTATAAGTGCAATTTTTTATAAATATCTTTTTAGTTGTAATTTAATTAATAAAAAAATTTTTTAATTTTTAGACGTCTGCTAACTTTAGTGTCATTATAATAATTAAAAATTTATAACACTGAAGTTAGCCGTCAGCTGTCAGTTTTAAAAATTTTTTTAACGAATCAATTACAATTAAAAAATGCTTTAAGAATTTTCACTTGTAATTTTTATAAATTTTCACATGTGGAACTTTTTAATATTTTTTTTATAATAGTTTAATTGCTATAAATTCTAAAAAAAATTTTTAATATCTGTCAACAGTGTCATAAAAATTTTTGATTTTTTAAATTAATTTTATTTAGGGTTAAGTATATACCTAATTATTATTTTTTTTTTACAATATACATTATTATTATTTTATTTTTACAATTTACATTATTATTATTTTTTTATAATAATAAAGTTAGCCGACATTTTTTATTTTTTGATTTTGTTTAATTTATTAAATTAGAACTAAAAAATTTTTTTTTATTGGACTTACAGTTTTTCATAAATGAAATTAAAAAAAAAAAAATTTTTGTAATGATTTTTTCAATAAAAAAAATTTTAAAAATTTTAAAATATCGGCTAACTTTATTGTCATTTTTATAAATACATTAGTTAATTATTACTTTCATGGTCGATTTTTTTTGACCATGAAAAATTTCAGTCAATATTTTTGTGACTTATTTTAAACCTTAAAAAAAAATTTTATTTTTACTTCGACTACTGAACTAAATAAAAAAAATTTAAGAATTAGTCATAAAAAATAAGATGGCCATGAAAGTAATAAATTATTGGTTGCATAAGATCTCGGTAATCTTAGATGACTATTTTTTTTTTTATCTCTTCATATTCTTGCCAAAAGAATATTTAAAAATCAGATTTATTGCATTAAATAACTAAATGTGAATTTAAATAAATTCCAAGAACTTACTTCTAGTTAAATAACTAATAAATACTCAACTAATTTATGAATTGTTTGTTTAAACTTGCCTTCACATGAGTATAAGAAATAATTCCTCCTAAAGTTAATGTAATTCCAATAGCTTGATTTAACGCTAGAGATTCTTTAAATACAATTGAACCACCTAATAATAATAAACAAAATTTACAATGTCCAACCATATTGTATCTATATTAGTGAATGTTAAGGAAAAAATATTGGTTAACATTAATTGTGTTGAATTAGAATATGTCTATTAATATGTAAAAAAAAAAAAATCCTGATAAATATAGAGCCATCACGGCCCGGATTTATCAGGATTTTTTTACGTATGAATAGTCATTTCTATCTAGTTGATTATAAATAATTAATAACAATGCAACAAATTATAATAAGATTACTTAATCAATTTAAAAAATGTTTATTAAAAAAAGAATGTTATTTCTTCTTTAGAGTTGAATTTAATATCGGAATTTTATTTGTTCTTCCAACAAATGGAATGAAATAATTGCGCGCAATAATGAAAGAGTTAATAGGGGTTGTAAAAAACACGTGCAAGAAAGCTAGTATGTATATAAATATATATCTATGGTTATAATAGTAAAAGAAGAAAATGAATAGAGCGAATGACTCAGGGGTGAGTACAAAAGAGAGAGAGAGAGAGAAACGAGGGTTAGTGAAAGGCGGTGGTCCCGGCAAAGCGCCAAATCGATACAGCTTCCCGTCTCGCACCTACTGACTACACCCTCTTCGTCAGTCAGCTGGTTGTCGTCGGTCTGCCTACAACCTACAACGTTAACTATCTTCACTATGTTCTAACTTATAACTTATAGCTATACTATGGATAATCCTGTTCCTTGGTCCCTTCCTTGACGTATTGAATTATATATTCATACGTGTATTTCCGACGACTACCGCTTATCCCGAGCATTTATTACTGTAGGAGCTTGCCATCTTCATCAATAATCAATTATATTCCAGAAGGATGCCTGTTGCTTTGTTATTTATATTCAAATGTTTATTAATGTCAGGGGAGCCTTGAATTTTGATTCTTGATATTTTATTGTTAAATTTTGTTATTTTTTGGGATACAAATATCTTTTTTAATTGAATATCTAGTCTATGAAGAAAATTAATTATTTATGCATGATAAAAATTTATTAAGGTATTTTTTTATAAGTTTTTTTATCAAAAACAATATTATAGGTTTGGAAAAAATAATTTTGGACAAAAACTCTTAAATTGTATTTTTCTAAATCAAAAACATTAACAATGTAATAAAAAATTAATTTGTTTAAAATTTTAAACAATTTTATTTCTTAGCTGAAGAAATAAAAATTTATCTTAGAAAGTTTTTTATTGAAAAAAATATTATAGATTTGGGAAAAAATAATTTTGGATGAAAACTCTTGAGTTTTCTTCTTAGAATTGGATTTTTCTAAATCAAAAAAATTTTGTACCGAAAGTTAATTTATTATGATAAATCTTAGGATGCATTCTAAAGTGCTTTATCTCTAGTTACATAATTATAAGAAATGACCTTGTATCTTGTGAACTATTGACATTTTTGAAGACATAAGCTCACCCTGACATTACACTTACCGAATTTAAAAAAACAAAATTAAATTTTCGTAGCTAAAACTTACAAAATAAACCATAAAATTTTTATAATCTTAAAAATTAGATTTTTAATTAAAACCGTTTTTTGTATTTTTACAAAACCGAGTTTGTAAAATTACTTCTAAAACAAATTAATTTCTTATTAAAAAAATTGCCCATTTTGTTTTTTAAATAAACTTCTCTCACCATAATAATTGTCAATAAAATCCATAAACAAAGGTAGCATATAAAAATAATTAACAGCAAATCAATATTAAAAAAGTACAATTATCTTCCCGGAAATTTTTTTCGCAAAAATTTTTAAAATTAATTGCTTCTTTTTTTTTAACAGTATGACATAACTTTATTTTTTTATCATATATATCTTCTCATAACAACCCTCGGTAATGTTTAGCAGTCAGCAGTATATTTCTTGAGGCTACTGAAAAAAAATTACACGTTTAATTTAAAACTTTTATAATCCAGCATGTAGTACCAATTTAAATGATGATGGATAAAGTTTTGACAAACTTTTATAAGTTGTAATTAATTCCACAGTTCTATAAATTATTCTAAATGTTTTGAACTATGTTGAAAACTTGTCAGGCATCAGTTCTGAAAAATATTTTAATTATTTTTAAAATAAAAACTCGAGAAATGTTGATAAGAATGCATGAAACCTTGCAGAGATAATTTACATTTACATAGAAAATGGAAACCATTTCTGGACGTGAATTTATATTTATGAATGTATGCGAGTCTTTCTACGATAATTGTAAAATATTATTACCCATTAGTCTTGAACAGAAATATTTCTCATGTATAATATACTTCTTGAAATTACGTATATATAATTTAATTTTTCTTCTTTATCGCCACTTTTCAATCTCCGTCGCTTTATATGAAGAACTTTCTATGAAGTAGATATCAAAAATAATATTCCGAGAAATGATACTTGTTTATGTTGTTCGCTTTGCTGAAAAATCGATCCATCATATTTAATTCTAGAATCAACGAATTTCTATGCTTCAAGTTTAGCAATTCTGTAAAAAAAAATAATAAATATATATTTCTCGTATGTTATTGAAGTGTTTACTTACGTAAACAATTTTACTGTTGAAGCTATGAAAATATTGTGCGTATTTTATGATATTGAAAACAGCAAACATAAAGCTATTTTTGCGCTTTTATAAATAAATTACATACCCTCTGGAAAATTTATACAATTGAATAAAACTTTGTAAACATTTGATGGTTTTATTACAGTTTATTGATTTATTTATGCTTGGAAAGCCGAGAAACATCAGTTTTTTTTCTGAAAAGGATTTTTAATTGATTAATGTAAAAATTGATGAGTTTCTTTTTTAATTTTGAAGTTGAAAAATTTAAGAAAATTTTATCTCATTAGTAAAAATATTTATTTTTGATGAAATTTGATAAAAATTTTACTTAAATTGTTTATAAAATTATCAAATATTTATTAGAATTATTAATCTTTCAATTTGTTGTTGAAAAATATTGTATAGAAGCAATCTATTAAGCTGTTTTTGGGAAATTTTGTAATTTTGAAAAGACAGTCTTTAAAAAAAGCGCGTTTAAAATTTTCCATCTCTGTTCTATTTACACACTGAGAAAAAAAATTTATTTAAAAAAAAAATGAACAAAGTTGTGATCTATATCATTAAGAGAATAAGAAAAATTTTTTTTCCAGGATAATCATAAGATAAAATCTGGTTTTTTAGTAAAATTTAGGCTGCATTCGACAATACTCTATCTTTAGATACATAATTAAGAAATGACCTTGTATGTTGTGAAATATTTACATTTTTAAAGATATAAGCTCACTACGACATTACACTCATCGAGATCTTTCATTTGAGTACCTACATCAACTTTTCATATATTTTATATATTTATATATATATGTATATATGAAAAATATATAAAAATGCATGTGGGTACTCAAATGAAAGCTCTTGATGAGTGTAACATCGAGATGAGCTTATATCTTTAAAAATGTCAATAGTTCACGAGATACAAGGTCATTACTCAATTATTGACATTTTTAAAGATATAAGCTCATTCCGATGTTACAATCAGCAAGACCTTTCATTTAAGTACCCACATTAATTTTTCATATATTTATATATATTATAAATTTATATATTATATATTTATATATATTATATATGTATATGTCTATTATATATATTAATTTCAATTCAAAATAATTTTTTCCAAATTTAGAAAACTTTTTTTCAATAAAAAAATTTCCTATTTATTCAGCTAAGAATTATAATTTTCAAAAAAATTAATTTCTTATTACAACATTGCTCATTTTTTTCAAACTCAAATTTTTTCTCTGTTAACGCTCCGAGATAACTTCACAAATATTTTTATAACTTTAAAAATACTTGTCCAATTAATATCAAATTTTCTGTGTACATACTCAAATATATCTTCTTTCTAAAAATAAAATTTTAAATAAATACTACCCCTCAAAAATCTCAATAAATATATAATGCTGAAAAAAAAACCCCATAAAAGAAAAATTAAAATGCAGTAAAGTTGTTGAGTAAGAGCCAAGTATTTTTAATATTTAATTATATTTTTCAATTTATCAGCACTTGGATTCGATTAATCGTTGATTACGTGCCGACACTTGAACAACGAGGCTTCCCATCCAAAGTGAAGTAGTATTGAGTAGGTGAGAGATAGACCCTATAGCGTTTATTCTACCTCTGGCCTCTAGCCTCTAGCCTCTGGTCTCTAGTCTCTAGTAGTGTAGATTTTGTGTGCGACACTACCATAGTAATACCATCAGCACTACACGTTCTCCAAGTAGCAGCAAGTACGAGCGAGGGTGTACACCAGCACAGCCCACTCTCGATAATGAGAACTTCTCCCAGCGGGTGACCTCGTAATTCTCATCATTTCATTTCCCTCTAGATAATCCTCCACCCGAGTTGAGAGCAGAGGATAGAAGTTCTGCTGGAGAATTCGACCAGAGTACGCTCTACAATTCATATCAGTGTGCCAGTTGTCGTTCGCTTTTATGCAAATAAAATCTGACAAAATTAAAATAATAAAGAGTATAGAGTATAAAATCTTTCCATTAACGTAATTAATGTCTAATGTGATTAAAAAGTATAAATGTGATACCTACATGTGTCATTCTCGTTAATTATTTAATTTAATCGAGTGTAAGGCTTTACTGTAATTTATTTTTTAAATTCAATGTCACTTTTTGATGTAATAATTTCTTCCAGATATAAAATGAATGTGACGGCGATGAGAAGTATTACGACGTTGGCTTCGCTGATGACTGGAGATGACAGTGACAGAATGACAATGACTGTGTCCAGCACTACCTTGGTGGGAATGCTCGCCGGGATTGACGTTAAAATATCGATGGACAGGAGCAAAACAAATATATTTGACAGCGATCTAGATGTGTCGCCGGTTACGCTCTCATCTGACTGGTCCAGAGTCGCAAGACTTCTACTACTCGCTTCTCTTGCTGTCGTCGGCAGCGTTGGTAATGTCTTTATGATATCTGCAATTATGGTTGAGGATCATCTAAAAAAAAGAGGTGAGCTTTTAGATTTTTTTTATGGATAAATTATTATTGAAGAAAATTTTTAAATTTGCTTTATTAAATTGCACTGTACTTTCTTAACTATTGACATTTTTTTAAATATAAGCTCATCCTGATGTTACACTCATGAAGAGCTTTCATTTGAGTACCCACATCAATTTTTCATATATTTATATTTATTATATATATGTATATATGAAATATATATCAAAATGCATGTGGGTACTCAAATGAAAGGTCTCAATGAGTGTAATGTCGGGGTGAGCTTATATCTTTAAAAATGTTAGTAGTTGGCAAGATACAAGGTCATTTCTTAATTATTGAAATTTTTTAAGATATAAGCTCATCCTGATGTTACACTTATCAAGAGCTTTCATTTAAGTACCCACATGCACTTTTCATATATTTGTCATACATACATATATATCATATATATTATATATAAATATATAAAATATATGAAAAATTGATGTGGGTACTCAAATAAAAGGTATGAGTGTAATGTCGGGGTGAGCTTATATCTTTAAAAATGTTAGTAGTTGGCAAGATACAAGGTCATTTCTTAATTATTGAAATTTTTTAAGATATAAGCTCATCCTGATGTTACACTTATCAAGAGCTTTCATTTAAGTACCCACATGCACTTTTCATATATTTGTCATACATACATATATATCATATATATTATATATAAATATATAAAATATATGAAAAATTGATGTGGGTACTCAAATAAAAGGTCTCGATGAGTGTAACATCAGGATGAGCTTATATCTTTAAAAATGTCAGTAGTTGACAAGATAGCAATGTCAGTTGTTAATTATTGACATTTTTAAAGAAATAAGCTCATCCCGATGTTACACTTATCAAGAGCTTTCATTTGAGTACCAACATGCATTTTGATATATATTTCATATATACATATATATAATATATATAAATATATGAAAAATCGATGTGGGTACTCAAATGAAAGGTCTTGATGAGTGTAGCATCGGGATGAGCTTATATCTTTAAAAATGTCAATAGTTCACAAGATACAAGGTCATTTCTTAATTATCTATCTAGAGATCAAGTATTTTCAAATGCAGCCTAAATACTTATAATAATAAATTGACTATTGGTAAGAATGATATAAAATTTTGAAAAGGCACAAATTCAAGTCAAGACCTTTGCAATGACATTAAATTTCACTAAAAAAAATGATCTTATTATCGTGGACACAAAATTTTTCTTATCCTCTTAATAATATAGATAATATTAAAAATTAGTAAGAATAAATTTTTCAATTAAATTTAATTAAAGTTTTTAATGTCAAAGGTAATTTTATGTCGACTAAAAATGAAACGAAAAAATTCATTTATAAAAAACTTGAAAAACTACGAGTGCAATTATTTAAAAATATTTTTTTAATTTATAAAAAAATTTTTAAATGTCTGCTGAATTTAATATTATTTTATTTTTTTCTTCACTCTACATTGTCACACTTATATTTCTTCAAAAGCCTCATGAGGTTAATTTATGATAATTATGCAATTGGATTTCACCTTTTATAGTCGGGGGTTTTTCCTTTAATTACCACCAGGCATCTGGAAGTTTAAAAACGTTTTAGAGGCCATTAAAGTCTTTATTTTATCGAGATATCTAATGGAAATGTTCCCGATATTTATCTTACCAATTAACGGATTTTTTTCAATCAATTAAGCTTACCTGAGAACTAAAAAAAAAATTCAAAAAAAAATTTTTTTCATGAATAATCCATTAGCAATTATGCAAAAAAAAAATAAGAGCGCTTTTTTTAAAGATTTTAGATGCATGAGATTGCGATATATTGTAATATAAAAAGTAATGAGATTAATAATCGCATGATTACTAAATATAATACTATTTTTTTTTCAAGGCAATGCATTCTTGGTCAATGTCGCGCTTGCTGATTTACTGGTAACTGGACTAGTTATACCTTCGTCAGCGATTGTTATTCTTGCTGGTCACGAAGACTCTCTCAGTATATGTAGATTTGAATGGACACTCGAGGCTTTGTGCTTCCTCGTGACGATCTTGACTCTGGCAACCATCGCCGGGGAAAATTATGCACGACTTTGCTTGCCCACTGAAAAGTAAATATACATTTATTAATATAATATTAGTTACTTATATTAATAATTACTGCAAGTAAAATGTTAATTTAAATTAACCTTGGGGAAATATTTATTTGAAAAAAATTGTGAAAAAATTTTTTTTTTACTCTAGACAAGTTGGGTTTTTAAAAATTAGAAAAAAATTAAAAAACTTTATCGAATCTTTAATTTAAATTTTAAATTTTTTTAAAAAAAGTCTTACTAAGAGGGAAAAATTTTTAATTTGACTTACTTGCAAAATTTCAGACTTTTTTAAAAGACATATCTATTCCAAAAATTTTTTCAATTAATAAGACTTCTGTAGAAAATTTTTACAACTTCGAAAATAAATCCGTGAAAAAATTTATTGATGCGATTTAATGAGAATATAAAAATAAATATGACACTAAAATTTGAGAGACATCAGATAATTTTTCAACTAATAAATTATCATAATAAAAATTCATTCAAAAAGTTCCATCGTTAAAAGTTCTGAAAAATTATAAATGTAATTTTTTAGAAATAATTTTCTAGGTCTAGTTTATTATTAAACAAAATTATAAATAAACAAAATTTTGCATTATTAAATGATAACTTTTGTTAAATTGCACTGTGCTTTTTTAATTATTAACGTTTGTAAAGATATAAGCTCATCCCGATGTCAGACACATCAAGAGCTTTCATTTGAGTACCCACATGCCTTTTTGATATATTTTTCATATATACATATATCTAATATATATAAACATATGAAAAATTGATGTGGGTACTCAAATGAAAGGTCTCGATGAGTGTAATGTCAGGGTGAGCTTATATCTTAAAAAATGTCAATAGTTCACGAGATACAAGGTCATATCTTAATTATTGACATTTTTAAAGATATAAGCTCACCCTGACATTACATTTATCAAGACCTTTCATTTGAGTACCCACATGCATTTTTGATATATTTTTCATATATACATATATATAATATATATAAATGTATGAAGAATTGATGTGGGTACTCAAATGAAAGGTCTCGATGAGTGTAACATCAGGATGAGCTTATATCTTTAAAAATGTCAATAGTTTTCAAGATACAAGGTCATTTCTTAATTATTGATGTTTTTAAAGATATAAGCTCGCTACTACATTACACTCATCAAAAGCTTTTATTTGAGTACCCACATGCACTTTTCATATATTTTTCATATATACATATATATAAATATATAAAATATATGAAAAATTGATGTGGGTACTCAAATGAAAGGTCTCGATGAGTGTAACATCAGGATGATCTTATATCTTTAAAAATGTCAATAGTTCACGAGATACAAGGTCATATCTTAATTATCGAATGCAGCATAAATACTTATCATCATAAATTTTGCTTATTCTCTTAACAATATAGATAAATTTATATCTAATAAAAAATTTCTCTCAGTTTTATCAGATAAATATTTCCACAAGGTTAGACAGTGAAAAAATTTCCACACTGTAAACTTTTGAAGATGATATAAACTCAATTAATATTCAAATGAAGAAATTTGTAGTTATAGGTTAAAAGTTATTCTAACCTATATAAATTTATTGAACTAAAATTAGAATAACAAATTTTAGTGTCAGTCATAAATCATCAAATTGGAGAATGAATAATTTGTTTTAAGTATTAGAAAATTTATTACTGTAATAATATTTTCTATGACGCAGTATATTTTACTGTAGACACTAAAAATGATTGGTTATGATTATAATACAATTAGGTTAGCCAGCTTATATATATTTATCATTTTATCATCGATTTTTGTTAGTTTAATAAAAATATTAATTTATAGCTTCATTTTTAATCCAATAGAGTTTCGATTAATCAATTAAATATTTACTCTTGAAAAATTACTTTCTTCTTTCTCAGAAGATCAATAAATGACAATGTTCATTATCAAACGTTTTGTTGTACTTATCTATTGTAAGAATAATACAAAGAAGCTCACAAAAAATCATTCTCAACCTTATTGCCCCAAGAAGAAATATTATAAATAATGAACAGACCTCAATAGAAGATATTGATGTTCTTCAAATACAAAGATGGTATCTTCATATCTATCCAATGCTGCGACGTCATTGTTTTCATATTAAACAAGATTTCCTAGAATTTCTATCATTAGTGATATATTATATAATATATATCTATATGTCTGTTGAATAATACACAGATCGAAATTTATTGTCTGTTGAAAAATTAATCAGTAAATTTTCGTATTAATTTCTTTATTGTGAGTTGTATTTTTAAGCGCCTTGAAAATTCTTACCCTAAAAATATAGCGATCAATAGTCTTCATGATTCTTAGAAATATTACTATGACTAAATCGAATCGTCACTTCATTTATTATTTATGTAATTATATTAACTTGGCGTTATTTTATTTTTTATGAGCTCAGAAAATTCTAACCAGAATTAATGGCCTGAAAATTCTATAAATAATTGATTATAATCTCAATACATAGGAATTGTTTAAGTGTAAAAAAATTTTTAGCGTCGGAAATTCTTTATGCTGTAAAAAAGAAGTGATTAAATAGTCTATTTGATGATAAATAGGGACTTTATTATGGAATTGAGTTTTAACGATTGATAATGTAAGTTATACTTATCGAGACTTTTCATTTGAATACCCACATGCAGTTTTCATATATTTTATATATATGATATATGATATATATGAAATATATAAAATATATGAAAACTGCATGTGGGTACTCAGATGAAAAGTCTCGATGAGTATAACATCAGAATGAGCTTATATCATTAAAAAGATCATTATTTAACAAATTACAATAGTCATTCCTTAATTATCAACCTTTTCATAAATATAAGTCCATTCTGATGTTGTACTCATCGAGACCTTTCAAATGAAAGACCTTTCATTTGAGTACCCATATGCACATTTCATATATATATATATATATATATATATAAAATATATAAAAAATCGATGTGGCTACTCAAATGAAAGCTCTCGATGAGTATAACATCAGAATGAGCTTATATCATTAAAAAGATCATTATTTAACAAAATGCAATAGTCATTCCTTAATTATCAACATTTTCGTAAATATAAGTCCATTCTGATGTTATACTCATCAAGACCTTTCATTTGAGTACCTACATGCACGTTTCATATATTTTATATATTTCATATATGTCATAAATCATATATATAAAAATATATGAAAAATTGATGTGGGTACTCAAATGAAAGCTCCCGATGAGTACAACATCGTAATGGACTTATATTTACGAAAATGTAAATAATTAATGAATTACTGTACTTTGTTACTATATAATACAATAGTTAGATTTTTATGAAAAATAAATAAATTAAATTATTCATTAAAAAAAAATTTTTAAATCAATAAATTCTTGTCTGACTGGAAAACTTTTAGTATATCTCAGTGTACAATCTAAAACAATTAACTTAATTAAGACAATTATCCAACCACTTAAATAATCGATCAGCTCATGACTAACTATTGATAATTTTTCAGATACGAAGCATTGACCCCAAGTCGCGTAACAGCGACAATCTTCGTAATCTGGGTGATAGCAGGAATAGCAGTAGGACTTCAATCATCATTAGACTTCGGTCCAGACTTCTGTGGGCGTAAATTTATTCCGGTGGTAATCCCGCAGGTAATAGGAGCATTTTTTCTAGTACTATTGCCGGCTCTGCTGACACCAATTCTGTATCTGCGTTTGGTATTACGCGTGCGTCGCGCAGTAAGAGGTTCATTCAAGCCACCGGCGTCATTCTCATGGGATTATGAGTTAATGAAGACCAATATATACAGTTTCACCCTTTTCGCAATATTCTGGTTGCCCTTTGGCGCAGCAATTTTAGCCAGCGCTCAACGACGCGTAGGGGCAAGGATCTTCTACAATCTCGCTTGGTTCGCTTTATCCAAGTCCTGCATTAACAGCCTCGTTTACTGCGTCTTCGACCGACATTTCAGAAATGCTTATGTTAAACTCTTTCATTACTGCTGCTGCAAAACGACGGTCAGCTTCTCCAGGCGACCTAGAGGAGACGGATCCAGGTCTTCTGGGGATGTAAGACTCAGGGTTCATATCATCCACTCTTATGCCAGTCCCGCTTCTTGTAGGCCAAATGTCGCTAGGCCAAATGGCAGAGACGTTTATGAACTTTAAGTTTTATTTTTTAGTATTTTTTTTAGAGATCTCTTGTTATTTCTTTACTAGGGTGCCGCAAAAAATTGATTTTTTTTTCGTGATTTAGAAAAAAAATTATCAAGCTCTTAAAAATTGGGTAAGATAAAATATTTAAGATTTTTTATGAAAATAAAAATTTTTATGATTTTTTTTGTTAAAAAATTATTACAAAAAAATTAAAAAAAAATTTTTTATTTGTTAAAAACTTCAAAAACTATAAGTGCAATTTTTTAAAAATATCTTTTAGTTATAATTTAATAAATTAAGCAAAATAAAAAATTATTATGATTTTTTTATTTTGTTTGAAAAAATTAGAAATTTTGTAATAAGAGTTTAATTTAATGAAAATTTTATTTATTAGCTCCAGAAATAAAGATTTTTCTTAGAAAAATTTTTTTTTTTTTTTTAAATTTTATAGATTTCGATAAAAATAATTTTGCTTGAAAATTTTCAAGTTTTTCTTCCTAAAATTATTTTTTTTAAATCTAAAAAATTTTTTTTCAACAAGAAGTTACTGTAAAAAATTTTTTATTTCTTCAACTAAAAAATAAAATTGTTTTAAATCAATTTTTTTTCCCAAACATGCTCATTTTTATAAAAATACATAAAAAATTGAATTTTTTTATTTTTAGTCTTTTTTTCATCATTTTATTTTTTTTAATAAAAAAATTTGCAAATTTTTAAAATTTTTACTAATAAAAATTGGTCAAAATTTTTGAAAAATGTCGGATAATTATTAATTAATTAAAAAACAAAATTTAAATTTGTAAAAATTTTGAATTGATTTTTTTTATTGAGCTAATTTTTTAAAAGAACTTTAAAAACATAAAAAATACACTTTTTTTTGTGGCACCTTATTTTTAATTAATTCCGTCCATTATTTAATTTATTTTTTTATTTGTTTATTTATTTGCTTTTAATGGATTGAATAAATTTATCAACTGAGCTATAAATAATATACGCATTTTAATTTAATGCCGTCGGATTATATAAAATGAAAATGTTTAATGGTGAGATAAAAATTTAAGAGGCTTTGCCAGACGGGGTCGGAAATGGGGGATGAAAATTTTTATGTGGGAAACGGCAATAAAGTCTTCTTGATTATTGACGTTTTTTCAAGTGACCATGCGTGAGCTGAAAGCTATCGATAACTTTTATTACGTATTGTAGCCGACTTTTTTTTACCAACACTGGAGAAGCTTCAATAATTGACAATACAAAGTTATTCCATTTATGCTTTATTATTACAATATTTTATATATAATTAGGCGCCATTGTATTCATTTTTTATTGATATAATTACTCGTTGAGTAATTGGTCATTTTTTTGGGGGTAAAAATGTTCTTTTTTATTTTTATTTACTAAAATTATAATTTAAATTATTAAAAAAGAAATTTAAAAATTTTTTCAATGTAAAAAGATAATTTTTTACAACAAAATTTTATAATATTTTAATCAAAATAAAAAAACAATATTTTGTTGAAATTTAAAAAAATTTTTATCAATTTTAAAGAACATTTTTAAATAAAAAAAAATTAAATTTTATTATTTATAAAAATCAGTCCTAAGATTTTATAAAAAATAACATTTATAATATTTTAATCAAAATAAAAAAGAAAAAAATTTCATTAATTTTAAATCAAAAAAATTTAATTTTATTATTTTTAAAAATCAGCGCTATTTTATAAAAAAAAAAAAAAATATTTATAATATTTTAATCAAAAAAAAAATGTAATTAATTTTAAAAAACATTTTTAAACCAAAAAAAATTCAATTTTATTATTTTTAAAAATCAGCGCTAAGATTTTATAATAAAAAAATATTTAAAAAATTTGTTTGGAGCACACAAGTGTTAAAAAAAAAATTTTAATGAATAAAAAAAACTGTGATCACTTAAAATGTGATTGCGAGAGTCTCGCAATAAGTTAATATAAAAAAAAAAGAAAATTACTTACTATAATTATTAAAAAACTCTTATGGTTTGGTGCCGGCCAATCAAAAAAAAATTGTATATATTATATATGTACCGATAATTATTTGTATGCATTTTATTTACACATATCAAAATTAATAATTGCAATTTTAAATTAGCCTACTGTTACAAATGCTCTGTATGATTTACTGTCCTGCCAATCATGATGTAATGAGCATAATTAATATTTAATGAGACTGATTTAACTAATTTAAATCTCGAGCATACCGCAGCGATTTTATAATACCTGTACAAAACAAAAAAAAAAAAAAAAAAATTAATAATAAAAGGCAGAAAAAAAGTGTAATAAATTCTACAAAAGGGACCAAAAGGAGTATTGAAGAAATCCTTTTGATCTTAATCTCAAATTTAAGTTTATATTGTATTTATTAATTTTTCATTGATATATTTTTTATATTAGATTTTATATCTGACTACCCTGCAATAAAATTTTTTTTATTTTTATTTTTTATTTAATAGAAAGAAGAAATGGTCTAGTGGATATTTATCAAAACAGTAGGCATCAATATCATTTTTAGATTAAATATAAATAATAAATATATATACTTGATGTTGTAATTATACGCCCATGTCCGTCGCTAATTAATTATATTATGCTATGACAGAAAGTAAAAATTTTAAAAACATAATTATTTTATTTAAGAATGAAGAAATAATTATATAAATTTTTTATGAATAGAAAGACAATGATAATTTTAATGAGAGGCGATTTTTTTCGCAACTGAGGACCATTTTCACAATAATAATATTAATAATAAAAATAATAATAATAATACCGTCTCAATCCTTAATTAAAAATAAATATATGAATATTAATGACTGTATTATTATAAAGTTTATGTGTTGTATGTTAAAAATTGAAATGTAAATTTTTGTTAATAGCTAGTGTATTTACAGTAATTGTCACAATTTTTAATTACTATATAAACTATAATTAATGATTATTGTACAATATGATTATTATTATAATTATTTTTTTTTTATAATTGATATTGTACTAGAAAATAATTTTGATTGCCTGTATGTAAATTGTACTTATTGTATCATATATTTTATGTATGTATGTAAACTGTAGATTTTATAATATTGTAATAAAAAAGTTTGATTTTACAAAAATAGGATTTCATTACTTGGCTGATAATTTGCGGTCAGTACGTGACTGCCAAAGTATGACAGGTTGGATTAATTTAGCTTGTACGTGATCAGAAGCGATCAATGAAACAGACCGAGGGACCGAGGAGAATCTTTCAAAATGTCAGTGATTATCATCAAATGGTTTTATTTATATTAAAAGAAGAAAAAGGCCATTTGGCAGCTGAAATGGATTTTTCAAATAAAGAAAATTGATTTTTAGTAAAATAATATAATAACTTAATTCATGAATTAAAAATAAAATTAAAACTATTTAGGAGAAATTTTGGAAAAAAAATTATTTTGTGAGGAAAAAGTTTTTTTTTTTTATTGTAATTGTTTGAGAATACATATTCTATAACAATGTGACTTCGGTGCAGGCTTATACATAAGTAGTTTCAATTTATATTGCACTATGCTAACTTAGGTTCGACTTAAATATTTTAAATTATAATTTTATTAATCTTATAGTTGCAGTTTTTTTTTTTTTCAAATAATTATATTATATTAAGTAATTAAATATTTATCAGTATTAAGCTTAGATAGATATAATTAATAAGCAGTTTAAAATTAAAGTAGATTTGAGGTAACTTGTGAAGAAAAAGTTTCTCAAATATTTACCAAAGAATTGCAAAGATTATAAAATTTTAATTATAAATGTCCAAATTTTAAGTCACTGCTTAGGAATAACAGTTTCCAAGTTAAACAAAATTTTGATACCGGATAAAATTTTAATTGAAGAAAACAATGTATAGATCTAATTTGTGACATATTTACTGACAACCTACCCGAAAACATCAATATCGTAATTATTGAATTTTGATTCATGATTAAGCTATGATGCAGACAATAATTATAAAACGTCTGCAACAGTAAAACTGTTTTATTAAACTTACTCTAAAAGGAGTAATATTAAGGCTATAGCATAAAATAAACTGAAGTTTTTTATAAAAAAGAAAAATCGAAAATCAAAAATGTCAATCATCCTAAAATTTTCGTTTTTTTCCAAAAAAGTTAAAAAAAAAACATTGAATATGAACCCGAATTATTATTTTTATTTTTTTTTTTTTAAAGTACATTTAAAGACAAAAATTTCAAAAAAAAAAA